GTTCTGCAAAACAGCAAAGGAGATGAATGATGATGATGAATAGTATCAGAAAAAGGCAAGTAAGAAAGAAACTAACCAGGTCTTGCCAAAAGTGGTAAGTTTCTGTGATGTTGTTCTTGTTCCACTCTTTCAGGTCAAAGATGTTCATCCCATAAGCCCATCCGCAAGCTTTCGGATCAAAGTTGTCTGAAATGCGATGATCGCTGAAGTTCAAGTAAGTGTCAAAGCGATGGAAAGTGACACCACATGTCTCCACCGCACCATTCACTTTCCCTTTCAAATCTACTGACCACAAGGGAGCCAAGTCCTTCTGAACAACCACGTCGTCGTCAAGAAACAGTATCTTCTCTAGCTTTGGGAACATCCTCGGGAGGTAGAACCTCAAGTGGTTGAGCATTGAGATGTATTTAGGGTATCGGAACTTGAGGTTTTCAGAGCCTGATTCAGCTGACTCAGACCTCGCTGTCTTGAAGTAGAACTTCTTCATTGCTGCTGACTCCACCTGTCTCAAAACCGGAGCGTAAGATGAGTTGAGCCAAGAGAAATCTTCGAACCTTTGGACTTCAATGGTCGCTTCTCCAGGAGGGTTTAACAGAAACCACATTCTCATTGCTCCAATGTTGAGTTTATCAGTCACAAGGTGGAATACAAGCCGTGAAGAATCCTGCAACAACAAAAAATAGCAAGTTTAAAGCTTTTTTTGCTTACAAACTACCTTTGAGTCTCTTTAACAAAGATTGATCATCATTACCTGTGAATTCATGACTGTGGAATTGACGACAACTGATGCAGCGAGCACATTATCAGAGAAGAGAGCATGGTGGTAAAGCTTTGGATTCTCCAAGTTGTACTCTCTTGGGAATTTTCTCATTAGTGGAGGAAGCAGATAATACTCAAGAGTCAAGCGCATGGTCAAGCAATGGATAGAAGATGGCAGTGACTTGGAAACCAGCTGAGTCAAGAAAGTTGTATAAGTTTGCGTGTACTCGAGCTCTTCTTCAACTGTTTGTAGCATTGCTCTCAGCTTATTCGTCACCAACTTGCAGTCATATAGCTGCTCCTTGGCTTTAGCCAGAGTTTGGCCCATATCTGCGATAGCATCAAGAACTCTGCAAAAGGAAGAAACTATTCAGTGTTGTTCAATATGGTATTGCTCAAAACCATGACATTACCTCTGTTGTTGATCAATATCAGTGATCGGTTCTTCCTCCATGAAAGCAAGTTTCGCAAGCTGTGTCTCTAGCTCTTCGTGAAGATCAAGATTGTTGGTCAGCTTAGCAAGCGTGGTGTAAACTCGTGCCATGATGATCTGATCTTGCATCAGACGTAACATATCTTCAAAGGTCTTCCCCTGCTGATATTCATTTCTCCAAGTGGTGTAGTTCCCTAATGGTGCAGCGTCGACATTTCTGGAACGTTGTATGGCTTCCTTCTCAAACTTTTGGACAGTACCATCATCATTCATCAGCTCTTTGACACGTTTCACTATCCTTTCCTGTCTCAGGCTCTTCTTGAATAGAAACAACACAACATGAAAATCAGATAAAGAAACCGTTTGAGATTTATGTAAATGATGAAAGATGAAAAAAAGTTACCCTTTCATACAACTTCTCTGGTGTATCATTCAGTCCATCTCTTATCCAGTTTCCATGACCAAAATTAGGAACCACTTGATGATCCTTTTTCCCCTTCAAACAAGATACCACAAGCATCAGTAAACAATGGTTTCATAACTTCAAAATATTCAAAATCAAAACCCAATTCATATATACCTCAGAAGAAGAATAACTCTCAACTGGATTATCCATCCATGACGCAGAAAGATTTTTCTTCCTGAATGAGTCAAGGTTCAGAGGATCTTTATCGGATGTGGTGCCATTGAGAGAAGCAAGGACCTGTTTCAAACGATCCTTTTTTAACAAAATATTGATATACCAGAAGCAAACATTTCAAAAGCCAAAAACATTGGCACTTGCCTCTTTTGAGAAGACAGATCGAACAGATTTTATAGCTTCCATTTCTCTCCAGTTACGATCCTGTAAAATTGCATTCAACACATTACTTCTTGCCAATCTTTTAGTAACAATTAAACAAGTACAATGTGATGATAATGGTGACTTTAATGACTTTACCTTATTCAGAAAGTTATCCCCAACACTGTTTCTATCTGAAATAATTGCAGAAATCAGAATTACGGAAACGAAAATTAAAGCATCTTCGCGCCATTAACGCAAGAAAAGCTGTTTTACAAGATTCTCGTGGAATTACACACTTCAACATCTCCAGAACAAAAAAAAAAAACAATTTCCCCAGAAATCAATCGATTTCGCGATTCTGAAAGTAAGAAGAGGAGGAAAAACGAAGGATTGTGTGAATGCAATTACAAACTAATTGAGAAACTTGGGAGGAAAATGTAAAAGGAACAGAGATCGATGAGACTGAGATGAGAAAGATACGATCAAAGAGAGTCCAAAGAAAAAAATCAAACCAAAAGATGATGAACGGTTGTGAAGTTTGTAGCTGATAACGACGGCGGCATAAATGGAAGCGCCGAAAGACCCCAGCATAAACGGGATCACAAATCGGTGATAGAACACTCTCCAACAAGATCTCCAACAAGATCTTCTTCGCTGGGATTTCGATCTCGATTTCTTCCTCGCCATCTGAAATATCAAACCCTAATTGATTGTTAGTGACGATCGCTCTCTCTCGAAGAAGAAGAAGACGCTTTCTCTCTGTTGCTCTCTGATTCTGTTACGCCTTCAACAGAGTAACAAACTTTTCAAATCGGCCTGTTATATGAAGCGGGAACAATAACGTCGTCGTTTTCGAAGCGATTGGTACGGTGCCGTTTTGTGTGTTTCGTTTCGTTATTTACATGTGGACCCCTATATTAAATTTCTTACCTTTGCCCATCCATATTTGTTCGTTGAGAATTAACCCCTATAGTGGACCATTTTGTGAACTCTTTCCTTAATCTTCAACCGGGCCTCGAACATGGGCTTCTGTCAACTGTTAATTAGAGTGTATTAAACACAGTGCGTGTAAGAAATTGAACCAGTGAATTAATTTATAGAACGCAAGAAAAGGCCCGTCTAGCTCAGTTGGTAGAGCGCAAGGCTCTTAACCTTGTGGTCGTGGGTTCGAGCCCCACGGTGGGCGATTATTTTTTCAAATTCCTCCGGAATATAATAATTTCATCAGAAATCACGCCAGGCTGGCAAACTAACGCCGTCGTTTTTGATGGAAATTATTAAATTTAGCGTCTTCGTCTACTACCTAACGCGATCTGATTTAGGAAACTGAGACTCTAACGGCGCCGTTATCCTCACGCCTAACTGGCAAATTACGAAATGGCAGTTCTTTAGTCAATGCCAGGCTACCAAAATCACAGTAACGTCGTCGTTTTAAGTTTCAACGCGATGGCTCAAATTATGCAAGCCACGTGCTTTTCACCTTTTTTGGAGGGGACCACTAAACCTAAATAGTTTACACAAAATATCTGACATAAATAGTTTAAACTGGAGAGCCTCGTGGAAAATTCATTTCAGATTCATTGCTCCACCGGATCTAGAAATCGAGATCAGCCCGACGATGGCCGCCGCCGACGGAATATTCCGCTGCATCTTCGAAGGTTGTATCTCCGGTCTCGATTCCGCCATCGAGCGGCGTCCTTACCACAAAAACTGCGGATGCGCGCTTCACGACGGATCTCGCGGCGCTGGGAAAACTAAAAATCAGCGGCGGACGTCCTGCCGCCGCCACGGAAGCTCGGAGAGCATCTCTTTCCCGATCCGAAGGTCTTGGAGCGAAGGCAACATCATGGCTATGAACTTCCCTTCCTCCTCATCGTCATCCAATCTCCAATCGCTTTCTTCGTCTTCCAATCTCCAATCGCTTTCTTCGTCTTCTTCTCTCACGAACCTGACATCGCCGGCCGATTTACCGGTGGATGGAGCTGCGTCGGAGGATAGGAGCAGATCTCATAATCATCAGCTGGGATGGACGATTGACGAAGGTGAAGATCTTTATTGATGATCATCATCATTTCCACATTTAAAACGTTGTTAGTTGCTAATCTCGTGTTCAATTAGTCATGGGAATCAAACTTTGAAGGGATTTGTTTCGTGTGTAGTCATTTTATAGTTTTTTTTTGCAATATTGGCAGAAATTACATTTAATAAATTCGTGGTTATCATTTAAAAATGTGTGCAATAGTGATGTTTGCTTGTGTTCTTCAAGTCACGCAACAAATTATTTTATTCTGAAATATCCGATCTTGTGCAGAAAGCTACAGAGCATTTACACGTTTAAGAGAATCGATACTATTTGCTTGGAAATCAAATTCAATGCTTACCAAAACGAAGCATTATTGCAACTGGTTATGGTTTATAGCTGTGAAATATTAAGAAAGCTGTCCACTATAACTTTACAGCTTTTCAATTAATGAGATCGAAGGCGAGGAAATTAAACAAAATGTCCAAGTTGAGATACTCCGTTACTTGCAACTTTTAAATATTTCTTCGGCATAGTACCATCAGTTTACATTTTAGGTGGTTTTGATGGGCCAGAGAAATCGATCGGATTACATGAAACATTAGAACACTAATCCTTATTCAATCACCAACATCTAAATGAACCAACACTTGTATGATTCAACGTCAAATGTAATGCCCACTGGATTTCTTTTTTTCTAGTTGTTGAATGAGTGGATAATTATTTGAAAACCTCAATGGTTCATTCGATATGAAGTTTTCACCCACAAAGATAACAATTCATTCATTACAATTGGTGGAGTTCTAACTGAAGATAAATAATTGGAGTAAATTTGTACGGGGATTTTCAAAAAGGGAAGCATTTGAGTATTGCTTATGAATCCACACATATCAAATAATCGCTTTCACTTAAAAAAAAAAAAAAAATTACTTCGTCTAATATATATATATACATACAAAGAGTCACTGATCGTTCTCGAGGAGAACGGATTTCAAGCTCAACCGATGATATTACACGTTGGCAAGTTATTAAACAAAGCTGGTGAGCCGGTGGAAACGTGTGCCTCTCAGTCTAATGAGGTAGCCTCCGAGGTAAATATTTTCACTATTTCCCATATGTTATAATTTTTTTGTAAATTGTTTTGTGAGAAATCTAATAGCAGCTTGGTAAGAAATAATGTTGGTAAAAGCTTCTTTGATATATATGATTGATCTGTTCAGAGTGTCTTTCAATATTGATGAACATCTTTGAAATAATGTTCGTAAAAGCTTCTTGGTCTGGTTTAGGTTGCTGCAAATGTTAAGAGGAAAAGAGATCCCATGGAAAAGATGAGCTATATTTTGGAACTGCATAAGAAGTTAAAGGGCTGCCTCGAGCGTACTACAGAAAAGATTGCCTTGAAAGAGAAGCAAAATGCTGTGAGGAAACAGGAGATTCTTGAGCTGCAAGAGAAGGTTCTTGAGCTTGAAACGGCGAATGAGAAGGAGGAAAATGAGATAGCGGAGCTGAAGGAAATGGAGCAGAAAAGGATAGCGAAGCTAGAGTCTTATAAAATGAAAATTCGCAAGTGTGCGGATGAGATTATGATAGCTCTATGATAGTCCTATAAAATAAAAAAATTAACTTAAAGGGGCAAAGTTAAAGTTTAAGTTAAACTTACTTCTTATTCAGAATGCATTTGTTACTAAATCAAGTGACTGGATAAAATCTATTAATTTGTTCTTTGGTATTCATTTTGTTTTTCACAATGGTTGTTTTTACAATACACAAACGCAGCTTAAAATGCATGGAGATGAACAATATAACTAAAGTAACAAAGATAATAACGAGCTATTACAATATCAATTTTTAAAAAAAGAATTTGTCCTTCTACAAGATATAAATGGTTTATGGTTATAGATTCTTAACATTTCAGACAACTTCACGCACCGGAGAAGGCGAATTCCGGCAAAGAGGACAAGAACCATGAATCTTAAGCCACACATCTATACATTGAATGTGGAAGCAATGATCACATTCCGGTATGCACCGCACGGTCTCTTTGCTCGCATATTCTGATAAGCAAATGGGACAAACAATATCATTAGTTCCCGGTAATCTTCTGCTCTCACCTAACTCCATTTTCTTGTATGATTCTATCGTAGATTCGTCAAGACCCGTCGTCACTGGAACCTCGTTTGGCTGAGCTGCCGCGATTGCCACGTTTCGTCGTCTCCTGGAAGTGAATCTCTCGGAGGTGCAAACTCCGATAGCAATACAAGTGGCAAAGATTGTGACCGGTCCGATTATGGCCAGGCTTATGATTTTGAGCACTTGTAATCCCGTGTCGTTATGACCTGCCAAATCACGTTTTCAAAGGTCATATTTAACTAACGACACACGTACGGAGTGGATTTGGTCGTTAGAAAAATGCAATTTACAATTAATTAATCAATAGTCAATGGCTCAATGTCAAATGTAATGCCTACTAGGTTCTTTTTTCAAGTAGTTAAATGAGTGAATAATTATTTGAAAAATTCAATGATTTCTTTGGTTTGAAGTTTTCCACCAGCAAAGACAACTTACTATTCATTCATGATTACAATTAGTGGAGTTCTACGAAGAGAAAGAAATCGTGAAAATTCGTACCGGAGTCGAAAGGGAAGCATTTGACTTGAAGAGAAGCATTGCTTATGAATCCACATCTTAAACGATCCATTTCGCATTTACTACATCTTGGAAAATCCCATTTTAGCCAAAGATCTTGATCGTTGACATCAGTCGAGAATCTTGATTTCTTGCCAAGAACCGGCCGAGAAACCGGAACAGCTACTGTCTTGACGATCTGGCAAGAAGGCAGCATAGATTTCGCAAGATCAAAACTAGTTGTAGCCAAGAACGAGGTCGTTGAATTTCCTAGACATGGGATCGAGTCAAATCCGGATGACTTAGGAACAACAAAAGGACAGATGAAGAACGTGTAGTTGACAAGGTAGAGGGCAGAGAAAGGTGATCCGGAAACGTCAAAGGTGAGAAGCTTTCTTGCCAAGCAATCTTCCGAGTCATAGAGACGAATCTGCTGGCTTGTGTAGTCGATCTCTCGGACAAGAAATGTTCCGGAGTTAGGAAGCTTGAGAGCTGTCTTGTGACTGTTTGTGCAGTGGAGATTGAATCCCGCGCGGCCACATAACTCAGGCTGTTTCGAGAGTAGCCATAAAGGGAAACGGACATGGACGTCTTCACGGTCACATGAGGAAGCAAAGCATTGTTTTGGGTGTGAAGCGTGCAGGAGACGGAAGAGGAAGAATAGGGAAAGGAAGAGTTGTTTTGAGAAAGTCATTGTGGTTTTGGTATCAAGGGAGGGACATGAAGACTTGTCATTTCAACTTAATAATATCAATAGTTAGAAAGATCTATCTCTTTTAAAGATAAGATTATAATATATTGTGTTGATTCCACTAAGAATATTATAGTCGGAGGATCTAGAGAAAGGTCGTACTTGTTCTCTTTAGATGACGCTCACTAAAAAGATAATCAAATGTTAGAAACTGAATGTCGACATGTTTTGAGAAATTGAATGTACACAGTTGACATCAAGGGGGTGTAGCTCATATGGTAGAGCGCTCGCTTCGCATGCGAGAGGCACGGGGTTCGATTCCCCGCACCTCCATTTTTGTATTACATGTTCGACTTCGACGACACTTTCACTTGGGGTTTTTAAGATTGTCGAGAGCTTCGCTGGAGAAATCTTTTCCGGGCTGTGGAACTTGCTCGTGTGGCCTTCACCGTTATGATTTTCTCTCCGTCTTCTTTACAAGTTGTTATTACTCTTATAGTTCAAAGCTTTAATTACCAGTCTTGGCATACAGTAGTTGATTATAGACTTGTAATGTAATCTCCATAGCTGCTTTCTTTTCGTTCCACAAAATGTCGTTGATTTGCTTTTCTGATGTTCCTGTAAGAGTTGTATGGTTGGACATGAAAGAGCTAAAGATTGACTTTGTGACAAGTTTTGAGTTTCACAGAATTTTTCCCATAATTTTTTGCTTAATAATCACAGAGAGACATGCATTACTATACTGTAGAAAAGAGATGAATGTTAAACAATAACCAAAAAAACCAGAAAGCTACTGTCAACACTGAAATTGTCATTACCAGGAAATATGTCTCACAGTGAAATTAACAAAACAACTTGAAACATGTCCAAAGAATGACACAAAATGAACAACAAGAACCAAACAGATTTAAACAAATGAGCATATGTACCAGAGATATTACGGATTTCACACACACAGGAACCAATTCTAGTGTTCCTGAGAGCGAACCACCTCATCAAGATAGTAATCCATCACATCAGCCAATGCTTCAAGGAACGCGTTCTCGCTCGTCCATGGAAGCACAGCTTCTTGAGCTTCCTCTACCATCTCCTCCACTAGAGACTTCTTGGTCAGAGTCTCTCTGCACATTATGTTTCCAATCTCAAACGATGTCAGTCCTCTCTCCACTCCTTTCTTCAGAAGCATCGTTGAGATTCTTAGCGTCCGAGCCGTCTCCATTGGCACATTCCATCCATGGAACTTCAAGAGAGCAATATCTTCTTCTGCGTCCAGTGATCTTATGTACTCCAAAGTCTCAGAAGAGTATGGTTTCCGAGCTTGTGGCCAGTAAAGCCACTCGAACGTGCAATCCTCAAACTGTTCCAAACCAAAAACAAAAACAAAATCAGTTTCAGTCAATCAATATCGTAATAATAAGAAAAACAAGATTTGAAATGAGAGAACTTACGCTTTCAGGCAAGCAGTAACCATGGTCAATTGGGACCAAAACAGTCTTTCCGTTTTCGTCCTTGCTCATCAAAATGTTTCCACCATGCCTATCTGCATTAGCCAATCTGATATCCAACACAGAGATCTTATGAACTTCCTCCACAGGAAACGAAGCCGGACCCATATCTTCACAGCTACCATCATTCTCTGTAAACATCTGAATAGACCCAATCTTGGTTTTGACTCCTTTAGGATGGTTAAACCCAGGATGCAAACACTCAATCATAGCCGTTGGAGGCACACCAGCGAAACCTCTCTCTTCACCAGAGAAAGACCGTCTCCCACTCTTGGGATGATCAAGAACATAAGCAGCAACCTCCCTCAACGCACCTTCTCCAACCTTTGTCCCTTTCTTCAAACCTTCACCGTTCGGCGAAAGCGGTAAGCCACGTGGGTTGTTCTCAGCCATTGGCTCCTCGTCAATCGGCTTAAACACACCAACAAACTTGTTCCCTGATGAGCCCTGCATGAAGTAAGCTCCTCCTGTTCCTTCTCTTGACCTCACCGGAGCATTCCCACTTCTCAACCCATCAGCAGCAGCTTGAATCATATCTTCAACCACTTCAGGTAACTTCGCCTTGGAGTTAATCACAAGCGGCTCCAAAGAGAGGTTACTAGAACCATTCCTCGGTGGCAGAGTGGGTTTAGCAGCTTGTGGGGCTACAATAGACAGCTCGTAGTTCTTCTCCACAGGCTTAGCACGAACTTTAGCAGATCTCCTCACAAGCAGATGCAAAACAGAGTCATCGTTTCTGCAAATGTCATTAATCAGACTCTGGTCCTCAAGCTTCTCACCTTCGTAAAGTATCTCTTCATCATCAGCAAAGTCTCCACCATGCTTTTTCGAAATCTGTTTCTTCACATAGCCAATGTTCCTCCCTCTCTCCACGTGGAACCTGCAGTGTTTCCCACAAGTGGTCTTCACGTCAAGGACCTGGAGGTCTGAGAGCTTGAGCACCAAATGAAGAATGTTGCCTTCACTCACGCCGTAGTCACGCATGTTGGAGTTGCTCCTAGCTAGCTCTCGTCCACCGAAGACGAGTTTCTGGTTCCGCACCACGAAGCCACGGTAAGACTGAATCCGGAGCTTGACGGATTCGATGGAGTCGGACTCGAGCACTCGCATCGGTATCACAGATCCGGGGAGTGTTAAGTAGATCAAAATGGTCTCGTCTGGGAAGGAATCAGCGCAAGAGTTCGCACGAATCATCGATGGCTCGCTACGAACCGGGCTTAGCGTTACACCAGCTGATGACATCTTCTTCTTCCACTTAATCGATTCGAGAATCTACGGAAATTTGTTTAACGGAAAAAAAAAACAGGATTTTTCTTTGCACGAAATCCCTCGCTATGTACAAGAAACCGCAACAATCCCTAAAATCCCAAATCCATCGCTTCTTCTTCTTCCAGAAACAACAATAACAAACCCTAGAATGAACAAAAAAAGAGCAGATCAGATCAAATCCGATTAGATTAGGGATCGATCTCAATTTGACGAATCGCAGAACAATCTACGGAAAAGGAAAATCCAGAAGAACGAAAACGACGACGTACCATAAAAAAGAGAGCGGATTCTTACCAGAAGGAAAGAACCAAAGAGCAAAAGGGGTCAAGACGTGGAGCTTTAAGGAGGATCCAATTATAGAAAAAAAAATCAGAAGTCTGTGAGTTAAGGTTAAATCAATGGCGTACAAAGCATTCGCAGCTCCGGAAACAAGGGTCGAAGACTTTACAGAGAGAAGAGGTTTTTCAAAAAGAGGGGAAGAGGACGACGAATGACACGTGTCTCCACCTCGAATGCTTAGATGACGCGTATAACAATGTTTACTTGTCAAAGGTGGTGTACGGCAGTTTCGTTTACTTTTTAATGGTCTGATATTCCATTTTTTTACTGGTGACGGTCGTTAATTTAATTTACCTTGGAGTAGAGACCAAGCCAGCCATTTGACACGGTAATATCGGAATTAATTAATAACTATAGCACCGGTTTGTGGGGAGTTCTAGAAAGAACTGTAGTCAGTGAACCAGTCGCCTAATAGAAAATTAAATGCCATCTTATGGGCCTTAAGTTTTAGATTTGGGCCTTATCCGTCTCCGGTTAGGACCAAGATAGGTCGATTACGATTGCATGGACATTGGTTCACGAACATCTGAGACTCAATTTCATAGCTATTTTCTCAGGAATGTCATGTTTGATCTACGTAAGACCGATTAATTCTCTGTTGTGAATTATTAGAAAGTTGTTATTGATCACACCAAATTCGAAAACCAGAAAACCTCTCAAATTCGAAATACTACACTCAGAGCAAAACCGCAACTTTCTTTTTTCACAGAAGAGCTAAATTGATCGATCCAGAAGAGTTTCCTATAAGGATCAAAACCATATAAACCCACCCAAACTTATGATTCCAGTGAGCTAAATCGTGAATAAAAGGGCGAAAATGGGACCACTAGATCTACAAATTACCCGCCAGGAAAAGAAAATGCAAACAGAGAATAATCACACTCAAAAGTGAACACAAATTTGATGAGATTAAAAAGAATGGAGCTGAGAAAACTTCTCTTTATTCAGTTCAAAGCTTAATAGAAAGTTGTAATACCAAACACACTTGGAATTCCACAAATACACCAAAAAACGAGAAACTGAACCAACACAGGGAAGCTTCAATGTTAAGATGCGATTGCATCAAATGTTCTTATTCATAAAAGACGAAGAGAAAAAAGGAAGGACTTAAAAGCCCACTATTCATTTCAACAGGTGATCGAGTTCCTGAGATGATATTCAGAAGAAAAGAAACACGAAAACATCTTTGATAACGATAAACTGGAACAAGCCCAGAGAGATGACCATCAGATTCCTGGTCATTTCCTGGTGAACATAATCCGCCAAAATTTCTTCCATTCCTTCATTTATGTGATACAGTAAATGGACTTTCGGCAAGTAAGATGCGTTAGTGTAACCTCGAGACGTCTGGAGACGAGAGAATTGCGCTGCCCTGTCGAGACCAGATTGCCGGAGAGAAGAAATCGAACGATCGGCGACGAGGCTCGCGGAGTCCGATTTAAGCTTCTGGGCTATGGCAAAGGGGATCGAGGAGAGATCTCTTCCGGGGAGGAATCGCATGGCGGCGGCGGATGCGGCGGGGGTGGCGGAAGCGGACGAAATCGAGAAGGGCAATGACTTTAAGAGCGAGAGGTTGTTGGTTTGGCGGTGGAGATCGAGGACAGTGCGACGGAGAGACATCGTGGCCGAGGATTGAATCACACGGGGAAGGGAAGGTGTTGGGAATTTCGATTTTAACTTTTCTCCTCGAAAATGGATCTGATCGGAGGAGAAAGAAATACCCTAAAGTGATTGAAACAGATCAGAAGCTCCTCCGTAGAGGAGAAGATGCATTCAAGGAATTGGGCTTTTAAAATGGGCTTTGTAGAACTACTGAAGGCCCAAATAGAAAATGAGATGAAAGTCTGTAGTGTGTGACACACGTCAAAGGAAATGTGAAATGCATTTGCATAAATCACAGAGGCTAATGTGAATGCTTTTGAGTAATTTCGGTACAAAGAGGTTCGTAATAATTCAAGCTTCAAGGTCTCACCTCTTTGATAGATTGGAAATGTCTTTGGATCAATGTGTTTTAAGAAAGAAAAATAATCAAAATGTCTTTCATATATCTATTTGAATTTTCAAGTAGGGACAATATTTTGAATAACCAAAACATACTCATACTCATACGGTATAAAATGAGTCATACCTTCTCTTTATATCAATTTTGCAAACAAATTGAAAATGACATTTAGATATTATTAAAATCAATATTATTTGCATGTAGACATTACCATGGAGGTTTGAAGTCGGGTGATGCTGATTTCTTGGGCTGTTGGCGAATACAAAAAACCCTACAATTACAATAGGTTAGCAACTTTCCATTCAAGAAGTCATGAACAATGCATACAGGTCAAATCTGGAACCTCGTGGTGGATCTTTCTCCTAAGAACAAAATGCTTTGGAGTTGATGCAATTTGGAACTGTTGTAGAGGAGAGTTGTCCACTAACTCAAGTTGTAAATGATTTGTCCAACTTTTGAGACAGTCAAGTACAGAAAAAGGAGCTAAGATGAAACGTGCACGAACCGTGTGAAAACCAATATGACTGCGGAGAACTCCCAATGAAAGCTTGAAGATCACAAATATGTTTCTAAGTCTTTCTCTTTAGTTGTTTTCTCTAAGATACGATCACAGAGCAAATTAGTTGTTTTCTCTACGATGGATCATGGAGAAGATAAGATCAATGTGGAATGCATTGCATAATCCATTAAATAGAGAGTGACTATGTGATTATTTAAGAAACACTTTGATCCATAAAAAAAAGAAAAAAAAAAAAAATGTCGAAATGTCTTTCATAATTATTTGATTTCTTTAAGTAGGAAAAATATTCTCAAGATACACAAATTGTATGCTGGTTAATGATTTTATTAATGTTCGACAAAGGTATATAGTATATGAAAACTGGATTACTTTCACTCTAAGAAAGATAACCAAAAAAGAAAAACAGATTTATCTATTTTTCTAGTTTAACCTGAAATTTTCTATACTGAGCAAGAGAAGAGAAGAAGCTTTCACATTCAAGTGAAATCTATAAATCGCCAGAGACCTGTGAGCTAGAAGACGGTAATGGCTGCTGGTGCTGCTGCGTCGAGCTTGTTTCCGGGTAAACTGTTGCTGCTATAAGCTTCTCTTTCGTCAATGAATTAGACTTTATCACAAAAGTGTGAAACACTGTGTCTTTCGTTGATGATAACTTAGACTCCATTACACTAACCTCTGCGTTTCTCATTCCCTGTATGATTCTCGAAGCTGGATGTGAATCCAACGGCGACACCACACGCACAACAACCTCCTCGCTCATAGCTCGAACATCAACTTCTTGACGACTCTCTACTGTTCTTGTGTTAGATTCAGACAAATCACTCTCTATCTTCACTCTCTGATCAGCTGCTTCCATGATCTTGACCTTCTCTTGAAGCTCTTTGATGTAAGAGATGGCGTCTCCGAGCAGAGAAGCTTTGTCCATTTTAGAAATGTTTGGAACAACCGAGCGTAATGCGTAGAATCTCTGGTTAAGCTTCTCTCTTCTCTGCCTCTCCGCTTCCACGTGATTCAACGGCTCTTCTCTCCCATTCGCAGGCTTCCTTCCTCTCTTCCTCGGCCTCTTCTCATCAACAACACACACTGTGTTGTTGTTTCCTCCTCCAACTCCATCTAACAAGCTCATTGGTCTCTTCTCGTTACAAGAATCTGATTTCTCTACTACTGATGATCCTCCAAAACCAATCTTCATCTTGTGATTGTTGTTCTCCTCTAAAACCTCTTTCACTTTCACATCTACTCTCTCAGATGTGTAACCAAATGTTGAAACTTTATTGTGATGTGATCTCTGTTCCGAGTTATTCAGTTCCTGTCCGAAAAGCTTGTGAAACCCTCCTAATGGAGGCTTGACTACTCTCCTACCGAACAAAGCTTGAAGAGACATAACCAAGCCAACGTCTTCAGGCAAAGACCAAACAGAGCCAAGCTCAAGAACACCAGCATCCGTAGGAACCATAACGATGGTCGCGATTCCAGCAGATCTCGCCATAAAAGACCTGAAACAATACTCAGAATCATCCGAGTTAACGGCATCGGAGAGCCACACGTGTCTCCCTGAAGCGTAACATCTTCCCGGACCACCTTCTCCGTGGTTAAAGAAGAAATACATGGAAGCCAAGAAGAAGATCTCAGTAGACGTGACTTTCTCTAAGCTCAAAGCGTAATTGTCTTCGTCAGATCCACCAAACACTCTGTGAAGCTTCTGCAGAACTCTCTTCCTCATCTCTTGCCATCTCTCTTCCTCTGTTCCTATCACGATTTTTGATTCCTCTTCTCTGATTGGCTCTCGACAACAACCGTCTCCCCAGCCTAGGACTTGATGTCCGGATCTAGACATGGTTTGCTGCCAGAACATGGCGTAGTTCCAGCTGAAATTGTCGGAGTTTGGCCAGTCAACGAGACTTGAGAGCTTCTTGTTCAGAGTATCGTCAGCTCCCATCACCAGAAACAGATTCTGATTCGAATTCGAGTTTGCTCTGAGGAAATCAAATGCTAAATTCCCTAAAACGGCACTAGCCATCGATTTCTCTGCCTCGTCCCATCCCATATCACTCATATTCATCGATTACGCGAAATCCCACCAAAACCCAAAACCCGAAAACCGGGAAAACCAGAGCTTTTCTACTACAGAGCTCGATGATGATGCTTGAAACCATATAAACCCGAGTCTCTCCAGCTTCAGGTTCCAGTAACCGAATTTTGATAACAGAAAAAGGTCGAAAATGGGATAAATTGAAGAATACCCGGTGATTGATAACGCTCAACAGAAGTCTGCGCCGGTTCAGAAAACTCTCGCCGCCAAATCAAAACGATGACTTTTCCGAGATAAAGTGATGAAAGCTTCGATCTTTGAACAATTGAAACTAACAAGAGTATGAAAACAAGAGGTTGAAGAAGATACAGTTTAAAGGAGAGAGAGAGAGAGAGAGAGAGAGAGACGACGAGTGTGGTAAGTTCGTATGAAGCTCTTTTAAAACACAACCACGGTTAATTATGAACGTATTACTAGAAGTTACGAAGTTAACTATGGTTAAATTTTTGTGAAGGTTTAGAATTGCAAACCCGATTAATATGTGAAAAGCAAAATCTATCTCCTGATTTTGTGATCAAGTACTTTGATTGTTTCTTTCCGGAAAAAAATACCTCAGAATCTCTATTCATTTCTAATCCATTCACCCCCTAAATCTAAGCCCTCTTTGAATTGGTCTCCGAATCTAGTAAATTCGTGAATGTTACTCTACTAATAAATCATTCATAGTAATAAGGGCAGTAAATGGAATTGGTACTTAATAAAGTATAAAACACATGGTCGAACGATTTTAAATTTATTCGGTACCAAATAGTACAGTACTGGATTATGATTTTTTTTTTCTCAGCCAGTAAAAATAAGGGGTGTTTCTAAAAATATACTAACCAATAAAAATAAGGGTTTCTAAAAACAAATAACTCACATGCATAAGAAAACAAATAAATATTGGCTGAATTGTCTGGTGGGGTGTTGGTTTTATATCAGACATCGTTATTAACGTGGGACCATTTAATTGGACTCTGTGTTAATATTCTCATTAATAAGTCCTTTAATTCAACATGTAGTACTACTTTTTTCATTGATTTTTAAAACTCGCATAGGATTTGCGTGAATCTCATGCCCAACAGTAACGTTCAACAAAAGGAGTCTCGTTCCGCGAGAGCACATGTGATGACTTTAACCTACTTTTTTATCCTCATGTGTTTGTATGTTTCTAATTGTTTGCTCGCCTTAATTTCAGATAATCTGCATGATTATATAAGAAAATTATTATCCCATGAGTTTATATCGGCTTTAAAATGAGTAATTTAGTAAATGTGTTGATTTGTTGAATGCCATGTGTGTGTATTGTAGATAATACATACCAAAACGAAGTTGAAAAGTCAAATATGCAAAAGCAAAGCTCGTTCTAAATTGCAATAATTTACTAAAACAACAGTTTTGCATAACTTTAACAAACAAAAAAACAGTTTTTGCATAAGGATACAGTAATCAAGTATATCGTTTTGGGATGGTAAATTGGTAATTCTGAAATTATAATATTCAAACTAAAACAAACAAAAAAATCAGATGTATGATACAACATTACAAGTTTACAACGTGACGTGACATAAGAAATTTGACCCATTTTCGTAGATGGAGATTATAACGCCGTGAGTGGTGTGTCTTTAAGTAATTTGGAAGTCGCACCAACCTATACTATTTATTTTTATATAGAGCAAAATTGTCTCTCATACAACTTTATGTGATATGCATAAATTAGTGTTTTAAGTAGATTATTTTAACAAATAAAAAATCGGGTTTAAGCACATGCACAAGAAAAGATGGGGTTGTTAGTTGTTACCAAAGAGCGGAATAAAACTATAGCTCATGTTTTCTTGGGAGAGGATTAAACTCTGCTCTTATTCCTGATCAAAGTGATCGATTCTGGTTTGTATATGTTCTTTTACTTTATAGTATGATACAGTTTCAATTTAGTTTGGATTTAAGTTATGATATTTTCACATATATAGTAAAGGTAGCTTCATAACCAGTTTGTGTGATTCAAGTAGACATTACATCGGATTTGTTTATCGGGGTTAAAAGTTAAACACCAGTTTATGTATATTGAGGGTCCCGTATATCTAATACCAATAAAACAGAAGTCACCTCATGGCTTATATGAATGACACGTGTCATTGGAATTTGTTTTCTTATTTATTTTGTTTTCGATGGTTTTTTCCATGTTTTTATTTTCCTTTTTTTTCCCGAAATTTCTTTTTCTCCTCCACGAGAACACGATCTCGAAACCGCTATCATTTCACCACACGATCTTTAAACTCGAAAACCCACTTTTACCATGAATCTCTCACATCTGCAGAGACAAACGAAACCACCCTCTGTGTTTTTATTTTTCTTAATCTCCAAATTCATCTTCCTCCTTTACAAATCAGATTAATTTTCTGGGCTTTGACGGAGGAAAAGTCGGATTCCGATGGTCGACGTTGGGGGTTATTCAAGCCTTCCCTTGCGAAACTCCAATGGTCAAGCTAGCTTAGCTCTCCCTCCTCCTCTTCCATGGCTACTCACCAATCTCGCCATTTTGGCTATAACGGACCTCCTGTCGTCGAAGGATTGGGTCAAAACCATCATCAACCCGCCGCGACGAATGTCATATGTCGTGAGATCACGTCTTCCAGTTAAACGCCGATTGAAGCTTGATCCTTCAGCAAAACTCTACTTCCCTTGTGAGTTACTCGAATCTCACCACCATTGAATCCTTTTTTCTCTCATCTCTTCGATTTCTTAAATCAGTCTCATATTCCATATGACCAGAAATTTCTGGATTCATATTACATTTTCTCAGATTCATCACTAAAATTTTGTGGCTTTGATCTCTAATTCTGTTTATCTCTATTTCTCAGTTTCACAAGTTACTTAGGCATCTTATTTCATACTCATTTCAGTGCTTTATCTCATTTACCTACTGTTTGATTCTGTCAACATGTCTTAGGTTAATCATGGCCTTGATGTCTCGAATTTGGGGTTTTCATCAACAAGATAAACCTGACTTTATTCCACGTCAAGGTAATCATCTTCCAACTTCATATGAGCTCTCCTCTAATTCTATTTTTACCAAACTGTTTTAGTGTGTTCTATCCTTCGCCAGAGGTTCTTTTAACTTTGGTTTAGTAACCGTTTTTCTTTTAATTTTGCAGGGTTTATATATCTTGGAAGTCATCTTCGTGGAAGTCAACTATGAGTTCTGGCGTTTATGCAAAAAGGTACCCACGAGTATATCGATGGCTTGATTTGTTATAGTATGCTTTTCTTTTGTTTACAAATCTAATCTTCGATTACAATGGTTTATGTGACAGGAAGATATGATTCAAACCTCTGTAAAACAGAGTTTGGTTAAAAAGTTCAAAAAAGAATTGAAAGAAGGATCATTGTCGTGATATCACGAATTTTGAAGTTTTGACGATTACCAGGGAACCGCAAACTCACAATCGTTAAGCTAATGTTGATGATGTTTTCATTGGTATGGTACTTTTCTTATATAGATATATATATGTTTTTTAACCATTACTGCAATCAATTTTGATCAAATTGGAGACACAAAACCTTATTTGGGTCAAATTCAAAATATTAAAGCTCCATTTTATCTAATACCCATATATATACTTTGTTTTAATGTTACAATTTATTTTGGTTTTATGCTGAGTTCATACAGATCAGATCACTTAAATTGGTGTGCAAATGAAAATCATGTCAAAATAAGTTTGACGATGTGTTTTTTTTTGTTTTTTAGGTTCTTGGAAACTATCAACACACGATTATAGAACAACGCAAGGGCTCATCAAACTTTCTCTATTTCTAAACGAATGGTATTCTACATTTCCTGCTTTCTTTTCCTGTGACAATTTTAATCGTTGGTGTTTCGCATTTTTGATCTTTGGGATTTGAATTAAGCTGTTGCAGAAAGCTTTAAAAACATATCAGTACAAGTTCTTCTTCTTTCTATTATTGTGATACTACCAAGAAAACAATTTTTTGCCCTAAATACAAAAGTCTGTTTTTTTTGTAGTCTTGAGTATCGTTAGCTGGTCTTCGTTTCCCAGTTCAAGGGTTGAGATTACCTTGGTGGTTTTCTTTTGATAACGTGGTTTATTGATTTGTCTGCAGGTCATGAACGAAAATGGTCTTTCATTATCATGACAGCGATATACCCAACTCGGAACTACCGTAAAAAAGAGAAGTTTTGCCCGAGTTATATCAAATCATAATTTGTTCTTTGTCTCTTTAAACAGTTTACCTTTTCACCATCAATATTCTGCTATTTCCTCTTCTTGATTTTTTACTGTGCATCTTTTTCTATTTATTGTATGTTCATTTCATCACCGAAAAAGTTGTAAATGTTTCCTTTTTTTCACGTGAACTCAAGTTTTTATCTTTGGATCAATACCATACCACCCAAGTTTTTATCGTTGCTCAATCCATATATTGTTATGTTATTTTCTATTTCTAAGTTTCCTTTCAGCATTAAGCCTTAATTAGTTGATGTTTGCGTTGATGACTTGATGCATGAAAGGTTTTATTTAGTTTTCTACAATCTAAACTTTTGTCATTTTACAATTAAAAGAGATTAGGTGTATCAGATTTTTAACTCTTCTTCTTTGTATAGAATGTGTTGTAGTTTTCTTGGAAAGGTATTTATGGATTGAAACACTTTATTATCTCCCTTACAAAAAAATCAATTGTGCTAAAACTACTATTTGGTTGAAGAAATACAATAAAATTAAATAATTTTTTCGGTATAGCACCGGGCAGAATACTAGTTGACAATAAAATAAACGCGAATGATGGATAAGCGTTAGAGGGTAGGACCCACTAACGGATGGCAGAGAGCGAATGAGGGTAGAAATGTGGGGTCATGTGGAGACACCCGTGACTACGGTGGTCTTTATTACAGACAATAACTTCTCCTGTCTCACATGCCTTTTAGAAAACGTAAAATTGATTTGTGGTGTTTCACTTCTTTTGTCCTCCTAATTTCGCATTCTTTTGTTTTTCCATTTTAAACGCCAACGAGAAGTAAATGTTACTAATATATCACTAACTATTTCATTTTAAGATGACTTATAAAAATATAAAACACTATGCCAGTGTTCATAATTTTGTTTAAACACACAATTACTAATCGAAAAGCTAACGATCAGTAAAAAGTTAAAACTAATGTGGAAACTGGAAAGTGACGGTAAATAAGCGAGTGAGAAAATTGCGGGACATATCGGATAGCTGATAGGAACAAAGGGACTAAAATAAACAAATAAATCGATTGGCTTACGCAACTCAACATCTTTCTTTAAACATCACGCGTTTTTCGTGGGCTTTAATGGGCCCTATGAAACCGACATTTAAACTTTTTATTTTAAAATAATACGCCTAAATTGCATCATCTGCCACGTTCCCCTTTTGTACGTATAACATAATCTCGCACGTCTCACGTGTGACAAATGCCAACGCAAAGTTAAATACATATGCTAATTAATGGCTTTGGTTTTGTTAACCGATGTGAAAATTTCAGACTATTTAATTAGTCTGCTGAACAATTTTATTCGAGGTGAAAATTTCGTGTGCAGTTATCAATACTTTTCTGGATTTCACTACACAAAAATCAAGCAACGTCATCCAATTATTATTTACTTGTGTAAGATACTCTCTCTGTTTGCCAATAAATCTTTACATTCTCGACAAAAGAACGTGATATGTTTGGACTTTCGACCAGTATCACAGACGTTGACGGCTTTGGGACAAGTTTGAGGCATGAAATACGTCGTCGTTTAGCATTTCTTTTCTTAATTTGGTTTTCATTTTTTGATCAGTGCACGAGTTTTCACATTCTCTATACCTTCCACACGCTTTACAAATTACAACACGTTTTCTTGTATAGTATTTGCCAAAAAAAAATTTTAATAAAGAGATTTGATTTGATGTAATCTAAGAACAAGACGTAATTAACACTTTTTAGATTTATGGCTCATATAATTGCACGGGCAAACTCAGAAACCAAAAATACTCACCGACAGAAATTCTTGCTTGGAAGTTGGAAAACATAATAATTATCAATGCTCGCAAGTCCAAAGTTGGTAAGTCTTAGAATGTTGGTAAGTCTTAGAATATTTCAAAAACTATTCCGGCTAGGCCCATTAGATAAATAATGAATAAAAGGCCCATTAGATGATGCATCTCTCGGGCAATAACCGAACCCGATAACCCGATTCGATAATCGGAATTTTTCTTCTGTGTAACGCCTGTTTATGTATCATCGTCACTTTGAAATTCAACTTCCCTTTCCCACTTTTTATAAAATCAGAAGCCCTAGAGGTCTCTCTTCGCCGTCTATTGTGCTTGATTTCTCTCGGCGAAACCCAAAATCATTCGCAGTAGCTGCTCTGCTCGGATTCACTCAATCGCTTAAACCCTAGCTAGATTTTTGGGTCTTCGAGAAAGATGGAGTGGAATCCGGAGACTCTCCAGTTCCTATCTCAATGTTTTCTCCACACGCTCTCTCCGGTCCCGGAGCCTCGTCGTGCTGCTGAGAGATCGCTATCGGGAGCAGCCGATCTGCCAAACTACGGCCTAGCCGTCCTCCGTCTGGTTGCTGAGCCCTCAGTCGATGAACAGACCCGTCACGCCGCCGCTGTCAACTTCAAAAACCATCTCCGTTCGCGATGGCTGCCTGCTGGTGAATCTGGCATCGCACCGATCATTGATTCGGAGAAGCAGCAGATCAAGACACTCATCGTCTCCCTTATGCTCTCTTCTTCACCTCGTATCCAGAGCCAGCTGAGTGAAGCCCTAGCCGTCATCGGCAAGCACGATTTCCCTAGATCCTGGCCTGAGTTGCTTCCCGAGCTTATCGCCAGCCTTCAAAGAGCTGCTCTCGCCGGCGATTACGCCTCCGTCAATGGTATTCTCGGGACCGCGAATTCGATTTTCAAAAACTTCAGGTACCAATATAGAACCGATGATCTGTTTCTGGATATCAAGTACACCCTTAAAACTTTTGCTGCGCCGTTGCAAGAGGTTTTCCTGAAAACAGCTTCGTTGATTGATCCTGCTGTGAGCTCCGGTGGGTCTGCCGCGACGCTTAAGCCTTTGTTTGAGTCTCAGAAGCTATGTTGCAGGATATTTTTCTCGTTGAACTTTCAGGACTTGCCTGAGTTTTTCGAGGATCATATGAACGAGTGGATGGGAGAGTTTAAGAAGTGTTTATCCTCAAACTATCCATCCTTGGAGAGAACATCAGATGGATTATCACTCGTTGATGATCTTCGCGCTGCTGTTTGTGAGAATATTAATCTGTACATGGAGAAGTACGAAGAAGAGTTCCAACGCTTTTTGAGTGACTTTGCATCAGCTGTTTGGACATTGCTCCGGGATGTGTCAAAGTCTCCGAGCAGGGATCAGCTAGCTACTACAGCGATCAAGTTCTTGACCACCGTGAGCACGAGCGCTCATCATGCTTTGTTTGCAGGCGACAATGTGATCAAGGAGATTTGCCAGAGCATTGTGATTCCCAATGTTTCTTTGAGGGATGAAGACGAAGAGCTTTTCGAGATGAACTACATTGAGTTTATCCGCAGAGACATGGAGGGGAGTGATGTGGACACGAGAAGGAGAATTGCTTGTGAGCTACTGAAAGGACTTGCCGCAAACTACAAAAGGCAAGTTACAGAAGTGGTTTCTCTTGAGATACAGAAGCTTTTGAGCTCATCTGCAGCAAATTCGTTAAGGTGGAAGGATAAAGATTGTGCAATTTACTTGGTCGTCTCTCTGGCTACTAAGAAGGCAGCGGGTGCATCTGTGTCTACAGATCTCATTGATGTTCAGAGCTTCTTTACAACGGTTATTCTTCCTGAGTTGCAAAGCCAAGACGTCAACAGTTTCCCAATGCTGAAGGCAGGGTCCTTGAAGTTCTTGACAATGTTTCGAAGTCATATGCCAAAGCAGTTTGCAATTCAGTTGTTCCCGGAGCTGGTCCGTTTCCTTAAAGCAGAGTCAAACGTGGTGCACTCATATGCTGCTAGCTGCATAGAGAAGCTTTTGCTTGTGAAGGATGAAGGTGGAAACAATCGGTATGTCGCTGGTGATATAAGTCCCTTCTTGCTGCAGTTGATGACGAATCTATTTGCTGCACTGAAGTTTCCAGAATCCGAGGAGAATCAGTATCTCATGAAGTGTATAATGAGGGTCCTTGGTGTTGCTGAAATCAGTGGTGAGGTTGCTGGGCCTTGCATCAAGGGTTTGACAGATATTCTCAGTGAAGTTTGCAAGAATCCCAAAAACCCCATCTTTAACCATTACATCTTCGAGTCTGTGGCTGTACTTGTTCGACGGGCATGCCAACGCGATATCTCTCTCTTATCTGCATTTGAAACAAGTCTTTTCCCGAGCCTGCAGATGATTTTGGCCAATGATATCTCAGAATTCTTGCCCTATGCGTTTCAGCTGCTGGCTCAGCTAGTCGAGTTAAACAGACCACCTATTGCACCGGGCTACATGCAGATCTTCTTGCTGCTCCTCTCGCCTGATTCGTGGAAGAGAAGCGGCAATGTCCCAGCTCTTGTGCGTCTGCTCCAGGCTTTCCTGCAGAAAGCGCCTCATGAGGTGACTCAGGAGAATCGGCTGAGTCAAGTGCTGGGGATATTCGAGAAGCTGGTTTCGTCACCTAGCACGGACGAGCAAGGCTTCTATGTCCTCAACACGGTGATAGAGTATCTCGACTACAATGCTATTTCACCTTACATTACGGGTGTGTGGAGTGCATTGTTCACACGCCTTCAGAACAAAAAGACTGTCAAGTTCCAGAAGTCGCTGGTAATATTCATGTCGCTCTTCTTGGTGAAGCACGGACCTGCTTTTCTAGTGGAAACCATAAACAGCGTCCAGCCAAACGTGTTCACTGCCATCTTGGAGCAGTTCTGGATCCCAAACCTGAAACTGATCACGGGGACTTTAGAGGTTAAGCTGAGCGCAGTGGCTGCGACGAGACTCATATGTGAGAGTCCAGTTCTTCTGGATCCATCAGCTTCTCAACGTTGGGGGAAGATGCTTGATAGCATCGTGACACTTGTATCAAGGCCTGAGGAGGAGAGAGCAGTGGATGAACCTGAAATGCCGGAGATCTCGGAGAACGTGGGATACACAGCTGCGTTCGTGAACCTCCACAATGCTGGGAAGAAGGAAGAGGATCCTCTCAAGGATATCAAAGATGCAAAGAAGTTCTTGGTCGATGCTTTGGCTTCGCTTTCTAAAACTGCTCCTGGCAAGTATCCTCGGATCATTGGGGAGACTCTTGAAGAAGCGAACCAAAAAGCTCTGCTCCTGCTATGCAATGCGTACAACTGTGTAATGGTTTGAGGTAAGTGTGTGTTCCATTGCTTGAGTAGCGTTTTTAAATTGTGAAATTCTGAAACTAATTAGTCCTTTGTAATATGTTTTAGCAGGAGAAAGAAGAAGGAAAAAAGGACTCTGGAATAATGGGATTGCATTGCATTTGGGAAGAAAAGTGGTAAAACCAAAACCATAACCATAGCTTTTTTTTTTCGTTGGTCTTGTGAAATCGGGAGTTTCATATCATTTGAGAGTTGGGTTAGAGAAGAGCATTATCGTTTGCAAAACTTGAATTTTCTTTGATCTTCGGGGAGATTTTGTTTCTTTTGTTTTCTTTCTGTGTATGGTACTCTTTATGTGCATTTTGTCGTTCGGCTTGGTCTGATGTTGGTCATGGACCATGTCGTTCTTATCATATATGGAGAAAACATGTTTCTGTTTCTTAGTTTATATTACTCCAAACCGAATTATCTTAACAAGAAAGCGCGAATTCTTCTGAATTTTAAATTGACAAGTCGCAATTTTGTAGAATACACGGAATCTAATCTCCAAATCATAACCAAATAAATGGATCGAGTCCGTTGCGCCGATTGTTAAAAAGATAACCATATTATATAATTAATCCGACTTTAAAAATCTTTAAGACACGACCAACTAAAAATAGTTAAATAGTAACACACATGGGATTACTGTGATAAACCGATGTTACAAGCAAAATAACAGAAGCAAAGACGTGTTTGAAGCAAAGACATAGAACACGGTAACCATAGATAAGGGAGATCCAGAAACCAGAAAGAAAAAGTCATAAGGTACCAATAACCACCGTAGCTTCCTCCGTAACCCGCCACCAGCATTGCGTCCGCCGTCTCAGTGAGCACCGCCATCACGGGGATCATGCTTGGTCACGGTCATGGGCCAACCATCGAGGTCTAGTCCGTTCATGACTTCAACGGCATCATCAACGGATTTCTCATCCTTGTAAGTGACGAATGCGTGGAACATGTCGATTTTAGTTTTAGGATTCTTAGTATCGAGCTCCAACTGTAACGGAAACCAAGCAGATTGAGCAAAAAAATCCAAAAAATAAGTAACAGTAAATTAAACAAGGAGAGAAGATAGTAACAGTAATAATACGAATCAAGTAACAGAGAAACACAGGTCGCAAGTGGATCAGATAATCGTATACCGACCTTTATATCAACGATGTCCCCAAACTGATCGAAGGCCACCTCAACAGATCTATGACTACTGCTCTCACCAAGACCTTTAACGTAGCAAATGTACCCAGCAGATGCAGATGCAGATGCCATTGAAAGAGAGAAAATGTCAAGATCTAAGGTACAACTACAAACTGAAGAGAGAGCCGAGATATTTTCTAGGGTTTAGGCTCGGCGAAAGTGAAGATTGATTTAACTATGGTTGAGGCTTGGTTAGATATGGTAGTGTGGTTGCCTGGCTGGAGACACAGAGATTTTTTCTTATTAGTTGGAAGGAAAAATGACGAAATTACCCTTACTAGATTTGAAATTACGCGCATTCTTGTGAATCGTGTATATTAACAAGTCGCAGTTTAGTGTATACACGGAATCTAATCTCTAAATCATATGACCAAATCAATGGATCGGATCCGTTCCACGGATAGTTACAAAGATAACCATATTATAATTAAGCCAGCTTTTTTAATCTTGTTTTTGGTATCTTTAAGTAGCCAGGTCCATGAGCTTAACTAGTGTTTGAGATTACATACGAGTAGACACTTAAAAGTTAAGAGAAGGGTCATGTTTTAATGGTTGCGACTCTGTGTTTTCTGCTGCTTTTTGTTTCAAGGAGTAACTACGAGTAATGTCTGATAACTAATGTGTGCTCTTGTAAACCAATTCGCTCTCTCCGATTGAAACCAATGACCAAGAACAACGATGAAACTCTCTCTCTCTCAAACTCTCAAGAACAGAAAAGAATGAAGAGGAAAAATGCAGGAAAGTAAGAACTAAGAACGCACGAGATTGTTAATCCAGAGTGTCGTGATCCAATATGAATCACCCTAATCTCTGGTCCCAGGATCAACCCAGCAAAATCCACTATCGAAGACGACGAGTCTCAGAAACAGAGAACTACGTCGGAGAAGAAACGCATACAAAGTGTTTGTTACAATGCCAACAGATTCTTTCTCGGTTTCACCCTTTTATTCACTAAGGGTTTACACTTAACCGGACCTTAACCAAAGATAATTAACTCACTTAATTGGAATAGAGATAACCAACAAATGAGCTAACCTCTTAAGTCCTAAACCGAGAATCTATTGTATGCGATTGATATTAGACCACAAACTTCAACATGTGCATGTAACTGAATATAGTGCCCTTGCTTTGACGGTTTGACCCACAAGTGAAAATCTTATATGACTTGAAACATGTAATGTCCAATCAACCGATTAAGAGCTCTAAAATATATTAAAATTAAAACTCGGTATCGTTCAAGCAATTTCTATAGTAAAATTCGTGCAATATTATTCTAAATAGATACGCGGTGGAATCAAATCTTCTTTTTCTTGAATGTGTTGTTAAACTTAAGCCAACCATTGCACACCCAAAAAAAAGACTTAATTAAGCCAACCATTTGATTCTCTTTTCTCTCTTTTACTGCAGCTGTACTAATATTTAAACACCAATGCAATAACCATAACTTTCTTTTCAATATTTTAGTCGTTATAGAATTTTATTTTTAGTCAGTATATTATATTCAAACATATATAAAGCAAAGCCATGATGTCATTTTCCCATAGCCTCACTTTCTTTTTAAAATTAATTCGATGACGACCTATGAGTTGAGACATGCATATCTTCAAAACGAATATTCGTTATTCTTACTTATTGATGTGGCCATTATGACTAAACGAGTGTTAACCATAATTGATGTCCAACAAATTAAACGGACATTCCATTGCACCACTAACTAAGCAATTATCATATATAATATGTATATTCCCATCCGTGCGTTCTCTCATTCACTTTGAATAATCGTATTCCTAGCAACAATTTGAAGCAAACGGTCCTCTACTTTGATTGTTCGTTTTCTCTTTTTTATATTTTAACTATTATCTGCATTTTATAAAATACATATGTCGCACGCTTATCAAAGCCTTAACCATAACGTTCGATGGATGGCAAAATCTCTCACGAGCCACCACGTTCCAGACACAAGCAAGAACGTAACGTCCCCGTCAGATCTAACGGAATCGTAACGGAGTAAAAATAAAAACAAACGAAACCAGCTTTTGGCTTCAGAAGTAAGAGGCTATTTTACTATTAAGGGTTAGTGAAAACTGAAAAGACATGAGAGGGATAAAAAGCAGAGTAGTTATTATGAAGAGAGCTAAAACTACATTTACTACTAGTCTACTACCGCACAACAACCGTTGTCTTTAATCTAACGGTCCAGATTCGCTCTCTCGCAATAATTGACCATACGTTTCCATTAAATACTTCGGCCAGAGGCACAACAGCAAGAAGTTTGTGACTGAAATAAGCAAAACGACACGGAGTTTTAAAAGAAGGGAAGCCAAAAGGAAGAAAGAGCGGTTTCGTAACTGAAACTGAAAAAAGCCAAAGAGGAAAAGCCGGAAAACAAAAAAAGATCATTTACTTTATTTTCTTTTTATCCCAACAGTGCTTTGTACTAATGAATTTATGTTGTGTAATGAATACAGACATAACCGTCGTGTCTCGTTAAAGAAAAGAGAGTTTTCTGTTTTTCTTTTCTTTTATTTTCTTGTTTTACTTGCTCTTCTTCTTTGATGACTCTGGTCGTCTTCTTGTGTGGTTCTTTGATGAGTTTCGATTCTTGAAGCTCCATTTTTAGTTTCCCGTTGCTTTGCTTCTTTAGTTGAAATTAGAAGAAAACTTTGGATTTTTCATTTTGTTCTTTCCATCTAGGTTTTCTTCGATGGCGAATGTAGATGATGATCTCAGAAGATCAGGTGGGTTTGAGTGAGATAGTAGTTTCCTTTTCTACCTTGACTTTCAATTATCCAAAGTCAACATTTTTTAGTTCTTTCATCCGTGGGGTTTTTGTTAACGAGCTCAAAAGCTTAGCAACATTTAAACCCATTTCTAGTTGAAAATGAAAGTTGTTTATGTTTTTGGAATTTAGGGACTTATGATGATCAATTGTACACGGAGCTATGGAAAGCTTGTGCAGGTCCACTTGTGGAAGTTCCTCGTTTTGGTGAAAGAGTTTTCTACTTTCCTCAAGGTCACATGGAACAAGTAAGCTTAAATTTTAATCAACAATCACAATATTATTCCTTTTTTTTTTTTTTTTCTATCTTATTTTTCTAAGACTCAAAATCTTTTTTTGTTTCTCTTATGCAGTTGGTAGCTTCGACTAATCAAGGAATCGTTGATCAAGAGATGCCAGTTTTTAATCTACCAACAAAGATACTTTGTCGAGTTCTTAGTGTCATGTTAAAAGCAGAGCATGAGACTGACGAAGTTTACGCTCAGATCACATTACAACCAGAAGAAGATGTAAGTTTGGAAAAATCTTGACTAATCTGATAAATTCATAGAAATTTTGATTTTGAATTTTTTTCCTTTGGCAGCAAAGTGAGCCCACAAGCCTTGATCCACCTCTAGTGGAACCTGCTAAACAAACGGTTGATTCGTTTGTTAAGATTCTAACAGCTTCTGATACAAGCACTCATGGTGGATTCTCTGTTCTTCGTAAACACGCCACTGAATGCTTGCCTCCACTTGTAAAATGCTTACATCCTTTATCTCCATTTCCAGATTTTTGATCTTTCTTAAGTGAATTTATCATTTTGATTTCGATTCAACCAATCTTTAGGATATGACACAACCTACACCGACTCAAGAACTTGTAGCTAGAGATCTTCACGGCTACGAATGGAGGTTTAAGCACATATTCAGAGGTAACAAACTCTTTAGATAGTCTATATATCAAGAGTCTTAAGTTTATGAGTGTAATGAGTTTTGTTTTGTCTCTAAAGGTCAACCGAGGAGGCATTTGCTTACAACCGGTTGGAGCACATTCGTAACCTCGAAAAGACTTGTAGCTGGAGATGGGTTCGTGTTCTTGAGGTAACTAAAAAGCTTGAGCCTTACGCTACCGGGTTTTCACTTCATATACTTATCTTAAAATGTTGTTTTTTAAGGGGCGAGACCGGAGATTTACGAGTTGGGGTGAGACGTCTAGCTAAACAGCAGAGCACAATGCCTGCTTCGGTTATCTCGAGCCAGAGTATGCATTTAGGAGTTCTTGCTACAGCTTCTCACGCTGTTAACACCAAAACTCTGTTTGTTGTCTTCTATAAGCCTAGGTTAAATTTTCAACTTTGCATCTTACTATAGAAAGGTTGTTGCTTGCTACTGAAGCTTTCCTTGCATTTCAGGGTAAGCCAATTTATAATCAGCGTGAACAAGTATATGGCGTCAATGAAGAATGCATGTTCTCTTGGTATGCGGTTTAGGATGAGATTCGAAGGAGAAGAGTCTCCTGAGAGAATGTACATTTCTCATTTCTTCTTTTTGGTCATTTGTTGAGTCCTCTTTCTATTGATTGTTGTTGTTGTTTGAGAAAATGTTGACTGGTTTTGTTCTTCAGATTTACGGGTACGATTGTTGGTACTGGAGATCTATCTTCTCAATGGCCAGATTCTCAATGGAGGTCGCTCAAGGTTCAGTGAATATGAATTTAACTTTTCTACAGAGGATGCATCATATGATTCTTGTTGTATACTGTTTTTGTAAATTTTGAATATTTTTCTTCCTTTTTTTAGATCCAATGGGACGAGTCATCTTTGGTTCAGAGACCAAACAAAGTCTCACCGTGGGAGATTGAGCCTTTTTCAACCTCCGCGCTAACCGCAACGCCTGCTCAACCACAATCAAAGTCCAAACGGTCCAGACCCATTGGTTCTTCAGTTTCAGGTACCTTCAAATGGAAGAACTCAGAAAAGATAACCGGAATCGGTTATTAAAGTAAATCAGGTCCAATGTTGAAAGTTTCCGATTTATTAATTTCTTGAAATCACAGGGAGTCCTGTCGCTTCTAATCTCTTGAGCCACGAGTCGAATCCATCACTCAAACTGTTGTTTCAAGATCAATCAGCCGAAAGAAACTCGAACAAACCAGTGTTTGCAAATGACTTGCAACGCAAGAAAACCGAGACTTCGGTCACAAGTTGCTGTAGGTTATTCGGATTCGATCTGAAGAGCAAGCATGCTTCTGCTCCACTTCCTCCTGACAAGCAGCTTATTAGTGTGGATTCAAACAACTCTGGTTCTGCCAAATGTCAAGATCCTAACTCGTCTAACTCACTTACGGAGCAGAAGCAACAAACATCCGCAAGAAGCCGAATCAAGGTAAAACAAATTAACCATTGATCTTTATGACTTCAATTTTAAGAAATAGACTTCTTCTAAGAAGTGACACTATGTGTGTTGAAAAAGGTGCAAATGCAAGGAACAGCTGTTGGACGTGCGATTGATTTAACGTTGCTTAGATCATACGATGAGTTAATCAATGAGCTAGAGAAAATGTTTGAGATTGAAGGAGAGCTTAGTCCTAAAGACAAATGGGCTATTGTGTTTACAGACGATGAAGGGGATATGATGCTTGTAGGAGACGATCCATGGAAGTTAGTGCTTGTTATATCTTAACTCTTAAGCTCTCTCTTGTTTTTTTTATGATTGTTTTATATTTACATACTCTCTTGAATGTGCAGTGAGTTCTGTAAAATGGCGAAGAAGTTATTCATATATTCGACTGACGAGGTCAAGAAAATGAGCTCAAAGTCGTTATTGGATAATGAAGGCTCGATCGTAAATCTTGAGTCGGACCAGAGGACAGTCCAGGTTCAGTTACGAAGTTCTTGATTTCTTTTCTTTTGTTCTTGTTGTTGTTGTCTATGTTGGATTCACTCACCGAGTCAATAAGGTGGGTTTTATTTTAATTAAATTAAGGTGGTTCATTATTTAGCATAGAGAGTTAAAAGACTTTGCTATGTACTGTAAAATCAGTAGTTGCTCTCCCAAATACTGAGCCCATAACATTGTTCATGACTTCATGTATAGATATCACCTAAGCTTCTCAGTTTTTAGTTTTTTTTTTATTTTATAAATTTCAATTTTCATTCATAGTCAGTTGACGAATTAATTTTAGTGAATATCTATTAGAGAAGACGTGCCAGTCCTTAGCATATGTGTAAAATTGATGCATTGATATTAGTATAATAATCCATTTTGTTCAATAATAATTGTATCTAAGAAGACAAATGCAAATAACCTGCTCCCTTAATCTTGGGTTCCGCGTACCAAAAGACCCACCTCTCTTTTGTTGTACTTTATTGATAATTTTGACTTTTATAAATATTAGAAAACCCATCCTCACCTAAGACCACATTCGTTGTTTTTTATTTATTGATTTAGTTTGGTTTGATCATCATTATTCATTAGGATCTGTAGACATGCGAAAGCACACACTAAGCTTGAGAGAGATCATAAGCTCGGGTGTCGGTGGGAATGTTCACTGTTGAAACCACATTTTAACTATGAGTCCAGTTTGTGCTCTCCTTACATCGTTAATAACAATAAAGTCATTTGTCGGCATATAATTTTGACAACCGTTTCATAATTCCTTAAACCAAAGGTATAAAAATTTCGATATCAAATCAAAAGAAAATTCTATAGCTCAGAGTACTATCACACACACACAGTTTCACAATCAGTCTATGATAAAATTTGCATGAACAAAAGATGTTTAACTAACTGTTAATGACTTTGATTAAAAACAAAGTAAGAGTAGTCTCACGCGCTTTTGGCGTTTTCGTTTTTCATTTTGAGGACCACGCATCTCACGTGGTTCATGTGCGCGTGGGTAGTTCCCGTCCCATTTCTACCTACTCTCGCTGTTGCATTACACCTCTTTAAAACAAAATTTACTTATAACAAAGAAATATTTGACTACAAGCATGAAAAGGTGGAGAAAAATAGATTGATTAATAACACTAATCATCTACGCTTATTTTTATTTTCATATCATACTAAATAGTGATGCAGATAGAAGAAATATGTAAAATCAATATTAAATCGTGACATTGTATTCTTTGAATAGTAAAAAAGTTAAATGTTATTTTTGGTGTGGTGACGTGTGGTCGGTCTGTCAACTTCCTCTTACCAAAAGAGTATTGACTTTTATGAAAGGTTTTCTATCGAGTCAACAGTAAAGAATTCCACCGTTGGATCATTAATAATCGGAAATGATTTGAGACATATTTAATGCTTTGTCTTTTTATTTCTTTCACTCCCCACTACCTAAAAAGAAACAGCCTTTGAGCTGCTGAAGAAGAAAAGAGAGAAACAAAACAAGAATGAGAGAAGGAAAGGAAGAAGAGAAGGCGAAGCTGGCTCTTGTGTTAGCTGCAAAGTCAAGATCATTGTTGTACACGTCATCACCTGCAAGTCCACGTGTGTTTGCATCTCCGATTCACACTCTTGCCTCTGTTCCGTTTTGCTGGGAAGAGCAACCAGGCAAGCCCAAGAACCCTCTTCGTCCTCTTTCTTACCCGAAGTGTCTTGATTTGCCACCACGATTGCTCCTCCCTGGTGAATTCACGCAAATGCCCATGGCCGAGAGGAAACACAGGCTCTTTGGGTTCTTGAGGAGGAAAGGGAGAGGGGAGATTGTTGTCAGGGGTAGTTATGTCTTTCTGTCGGAGAACGAGAGAGCAGGTGAGATCAACAACATGACGATCATGAAGTTTAACAGGTCAGGGAGTTTCCATGGTGGTGGCCCTGTCAAAGGATCTCACTTTTGGGTAAAGTATTCGTTTTTTTTGGGTCTTTCTTCATTACTTCGTCTTCCCAAGTCTTGTCTTTTACTTATAGTTAATAGTTTTGGTTTGGGGAAATGCAGGGAAGTTTATGTAGGGGAATGAAGCAAGCAATGCCATGGAAGAACAAGAAGCTGAGAAACGAAAAGGTTTAAACCTGTTCTCAATTGTACAAGACAAAACTATATATAATCATCTTTCTATCTATCTATTGAGGATGAAGCTGATGTAAAAGAGCTATTAAGCGTGTATGTAAGACTAGCAATTTTTATCATAATGTAAAACTAATATATTCGTGAGGTTATGTATGTATGTGTGTAAAGACCATGGCAACAAAAGTTTCAAGCTTTTCAAATTTTCCATAAAGAAATGAATACATCTTCTGATAAAAAAGGATGAACATGAACAGAGTTGTACACACATGCCTTTATATAAGTTTCGGAATAAAAACAAGAGTCTGGCTTATTTCATTTGTGAGTAAAAAGACAAAAAGGAATATGGAGAATCCGAATGTAAGAGAAGAGGAGAAATCATTGCTGGGAATTAGCTCTAGGTCTGTTTCTTCCCTGTGACACCAGCAATAACCTGCAAAAGCAAAGTTGAATCTGAGTAAATACTTGGAAGCATTTGTTTATCCACGCATATTTGAGTAGTGACGTGAACACGAGACTCGTCCATGATGAAAAGCATAAAATTTCCACATGAACCAAGCAAACCACAACAAAATTCAGCAAACAAAGCTCCGAGGAGAAGCAAAACAATTGAGATGATGTTATGTTACAACACACAAGACACAACAAATAGCATGCAGAAGCTGGAATCATTCAAACAATCGCCTATCCAAAAACATACGAATCCAGAACAAACGAAACACAAAACATTCAAGCCGATCAGAAACACTCATTAGAATGATTTTAAGCATCTAAGAAGTTGAAGATGTTCTCTAGTGTACTTACATCAGTGAGTGGAGGCGCTTTAACTTGCTTGGATGCTTCGAGTGAATCTAGAATTGGCCTCACAACAGCAGGCAGAAAGAGTCCTACAAAGAAGCATCACAAAAATGTAAATTCTCAAAACATTGCCTTTTGGTTAACATTGATGATCCTAACGTAAAGCTCTATGACCAAAAGAGTTCGTCTTTAAGCATCGAAATACTGGGAAAAAAAAAAAGGAAGACGCCACAACTATTCAATGGATTTCAACTCCTAAGCGCATTCTCTTTCACAATTCCTAGAGATGTCGATTCGGATCAGGCATTTCCAAATTCTCAAAACTAAAACAGAGCAAACTAGCCAAGGATTCAACGAGAAAACTAGATAAAATCGCGATTCTAAGAAAGAGAGAATGGCGATCGATCCTTTTCGATCTGTGGGAAATGAAGATTGAATTAGGGTTCATAATCATACCAATACCGCCGATTAAGCAAGAAGCAGCGACGACAGGCTCCTGCGCCACGAACATCCTCAGTCTCTCCATCACCGGCATTTTCGCACTATCCGATTCTACTCTCTCTCTCTTCCTCCGGGTTACGAAATTTTCCGATTGGATTGGCACCTGACTGATTCCGGACTACCCGTTTCCTTAAAAAAGAGGATCTTCTTAAGTCGGGTCGGGTCACCAGGCCCGACTGGTCGAATTCAGCCCACAATAAATCACTTTTTGCCACGTATACTACAGTTTAAACGAAAAATGAATCAAACAAGTGAAAATTTGTTTTTATATTAATTTAGAGAAACAAAACACCAAATTTCAACTTGTTACTAGTAGGTGAGTAATAAGAGGACTTGATGGTTTTCAGGTTTTCAGCAAGAATCATGAATTGATTAACATCTGCGCCAAACTGTGCAGTAAAATAAATATGGTAGTAATTTTATTTGGTACTAAAATAAATGGGCCGATTAATAGGCCCATAATAGCTTAAAGTAGGCCCTTATCTAGTCCCATGAGATATGAATAAAGTAGAGCAGTCTTGCTTTTGAGTCGTAATGTAAGTCTTGTTTGTCTTTATCCGTCTCCTCTGTATCAAAACGTTTCAGAAAAGGAACAAACTATGAATAGTATAATGACAAAACATTTCAAAAACGGTTGAAAACTTTAAAACTTGGGGAACATTCTAGACCTTAATTCCATTGGTCAAGGATCGCAATACAGGTGTCAAGCATCTAAGGCTCGTCTAGGGATAAGAGAGAGTCATAAGTCGGCTTGATAGTACGAGAGAGAGCTGATTTGTCGCTCACTGTGACTGTGTTGTGCTTTTTCTGTAATGTTGGCAGGTGACAGCTGGAGCTTTATGGGCTTGTAAGTATTGGGCCTGATCCATCTTTTCTTTGGCCCACATTGTTCTTCTTGTTATATATCCTTTCATTATATTACACATGGCTTCCAACAGCAAAAACTCCATTTTTATCAACGAGAGAGAGAGAGAGAGCACAGTTCAGAGAAATAAGAGAGATGGCTGCCTTTACTTTGATCGACGCAACGAGAGTTAATACCGACAATGGTATTTTTTTTGTTCTCTTCTCCATTTACTTTGTTTCTTTTCATTTTCATTTTTCATGGAAATCGATATCTTCCTTCTCATCTAAATACACGTTTTCTTCCTCCAAATCAATACTTTTGCAACGAAAAAGCGCCTTTTTATCCCATGAGATGACAAAGAGGTTTCCTTTAGCTAGAAGTTGTCACAAAGATTTACATTTTTGTATTAAAGTTTGCATCTTGAAAAAATAAGCTTCTTTGATAGTATCTTGTTCGGTTCTGTGTATGTTTTTCTTTTTCTGGCAAGCATTAAACTTTCGTTCTTCTACCGTTTTTTTTCAACAGAGGGTTTCTACGCGACCAACAATCAGTTCCAGTTATCGGGTCCAAAGGGTTTCATCGAAGTGAAGGTGCTCGAGAACAACGACATCTACGTGCGCGTGGACTTGCCCGGTGTTCCAGACGACGCCATCCGCTACAGAGTCGACGGCGTGAGGCAAAAGGTCGTGTTTTTCTCCGGCGAGACTCCCAACGAAGGTGGAGTTCGTGAGTACTCGGGAACGACGGGTCTCGGGTGTGACTGCTGCAACATTACCGAAGTCGATGCTAAGATGAAAGATGGAGTCTTGAGGATGATTTTGTCAAGGGTCAAAGTGAAGGACCACGAGACCAAGTGTACTCTCACTCTGCCTCCTCCTTTCACAGGTTCGAAACCCTAAATCCTCTGTTAATTGTAATTTGTACATGTTCTGTTTTTGCATACCCATTATAGTAAATGCTCTGTTTTTCAGGTAGATCTGGACAAAGGGTGGAGGATCATCCGTTTGTGGTGAGAGGTCGTAAAGGAGCAAACTATGCGGAAGCAAGAGCTGATGGAAGCATTTTCCTCGTGTTGGACATGCCAGGTGTTGGTGAAGGTGGTGAACAAGTGATTCACAAGGAGTTCGAAGTCAAATTCAGAGGCCAGACGAAGAACGTGAGTGAGCACGACGAGAGCGGCCGCTTTTACATGGGAAAAGTCGGAAACGCACCAGAGATTGCGCCATCCTTTCTGAGGCACACGGTCTCTAGTTCTATCGAAGCTGGTGTCCTCAAGATCCTCATTGCACCTCCTCCTCGTCGCAGTCGCAGCAACACCAACGCGTAATCACTCTCGGTCTTTCTGAGTCTTAGACTCAATCTATCTATCTTTTCTGTTTTGTCACAACTTTCTACTAAGTGTATTCTGTGTTTAAGTTTGAGACAATTATCAATGTGTTTGCGTTTGCGTTTGGTATGGAATTTAGTCTTGCAAAGAGAATACTGTTAATCGTTTTGCGTTTGCTGTGGAATCGAGTGATTCATGTCCTCTGTTTTCAAAAATCTGAACTTGAAACATAGAATCAGTTATGAATCTTCACTTCTTCAGGCCATTCTAGTTAACAACAAGCTTCTCACACTTAACAATATCCTCCTCTCAAATAAGAAGAAATGTCCACTACAGATTAGACACTCAAAGCGAACCAACAAAAGTGTACAAATATGTTATATTATGAACAAAGGGGCTCTCTACAAAGAGAATTTCATCAGATTTTAAGAAAGATCAAACAATATTCACAAAATTCTTACAGCCGATTTACAGTCTCATTAACGAAATCTCAAAAAGCTGCCATTCCAAGATATCTTATAAACTCATTTCAAGATAAACATTTAATTCGAGGTTTCTCTTCTTCTCTTGTCTTGTTCTTTCGACTAGAAAGATAGCATTTGCATCCATCCAACAGTCCATCCCAAAAGCAAACCAGCACCAACAAGACTCGTCCCCAAAGCTAAACCAACCGCCTACTTTGCTTCTTCTCTTCCTCATCCCCGGTTTTCTTGCTTTGCCATTGCTCCATGGGATCGAAACCGGTGGCTCGTCCTCCTTGTTGTTCTTGATTTCGAGGTAAAGTACTTCCAGATGAAGCAGTTGCAACCAGTGCTTATACCCGAAAATCTCCGAGGCTTGCTTGAACAAGAGCTTCACCAAGTGCTCTTTCTCTGCATACGCTTCTTTCGCCATGTTCTCTGCTTCCCTAGCTCGCGTTTGGGAAAGCCTCTGCTCGGATTTGCTTTGATCATCAGACTCAGACGAAGCCTCGGTTCTGTTCGTGGTCATGGATGGTTACAGAGTCTCTGAATCCATCAAAACGTGGACTAGCATAACCAGACCGTTTCATTTTCTGTGGTGTTTGGGCGCTCTAACTTGCTTGGATGCTTCGAGTGAATGTAGAATTGGCCTCACAACAGCAGGCAGAAAGAGTCCTTCACAGCAAAAAAAAAAATGTAAATTATTAACATTGCCTTTTGGTTAACATTGATGATCCTAACGTAAAGCTCTAAGACCAAAAATACATTTTCTTTGACGCCACAACTATTCAACGGATTTCAACTCCTAAGCGCATTCTCTTTCACAATCCCTAGAGATGTCGATTATGTCACCCTTACATAGATTCCGATCAGGCATTTCCAAATTCTCAAAACCACAATAGAGCAAACTAGCCAAAAGATTCAACGAGAAAACTAGATAAAATCGTGTTTCTAAGAAAGAGAGGATGGCGATCGATCCTTTCCATCTGTGTGTGGGAAATGAAGATTGAATTAGGGTTCGTAATCATACCAATACCGCCGATTAAGCAAGAAGCTGCGACGACAGGCTCCTGCGCCACGAACATCCTCAGTCTCTCCATCACCGGCATTTTCGCACTATCCGATTCTACTCTCTCTCTCTTCCTCCGGATTACGAAATTTTCCGATCGATTTAGTCCTTAAGTCGGGTCGGGTCGGGTGAACTAAACTGATTGGGCCGATTAATAGGCCCATAATTGCTTTCATCAGATATGAATAAAGTAGAGAGAGAGAGAGAGAGACGCGTAAAGCGTAAAATAAAAAGTTACTCACGTTCACACTTGCACTCCACTTCCAAACAAGCCAAAAACAGCGTCGTTTTAACGATGAGTCAGCAAATGTCAAACTCCTCCGCCGCAGGCAGCTCCGGCGGAAACAACTTTCCACCTATCCGTACGTCGTTGTCTTCTACTTTCACATTTCTTTCTTCTGAAAAAATCGAATCTTTTTGGTTCTTTATATGAAGGAACTAACTAATCTCTGGTTTTCATGTCTTGTAGTGACGAACCCGTTCCAGAAAAGTGGTAGTGAGGCGGTGTACGATGTTTCGGAGACGGAGAACGCGTGCGTGGTGAGACTGGACATGCCAGGCTGTCCAGATACGGACCTCGTCTACTGGATCGAAGGCATCAACGTTCACTTCTTCGCCGACGAACAAACCATGCCTGAAAGCGACCACGCCGGACGCAAATACGGCGGCACGATGGTTTTCAACCCAGAGACTTATAACGTCAAGGACGCAGAGGTTAAGCTCCTCAATGGAGTGCTTTGGATCAACGTCCCAAAGATACCAGGAACTAACGCCAACATTAATGTCATTGAGCAGATGATCTACTTTTAAGATTAAAAGAGCAGACTTTAGTTTATGTTTCTCTCTATTTCGACTTTGTTTATGTTAATCTTTTTATGGTTAATTAGCACTTTAAATTTCTGGTATATCGTCTGATTAGTCATCAAAACGTTTGAATAGTAAAAACAAACATTTAAAAACGGTTGAAACTTTTTTAAATAGAGAAGAAGTTTGGTACAACCAAAAAGGAGAGTTTTTTGCATTTGTAAATTTGTTTGTCGTATGTGTGTGAGTAAAAAAGATTAACAGCTCACAATTTTCCCAAATTTCACAGTGGAGTATCGCTGTCGTCAGCATATGAGGTAACAAACAATTCAATATGAATAAAATATATAAAAAATTAACAGTATGAGGAGAGTCCCTCCGAAAGTGACATAAAGCTACCATCAAAATTTTGATTTCTGCCAAGTCTCTCAACAATTAAAAGAGCTATGACGTTTTTAGACTGAAACTTTAACTCTGTTTTTCATTAACTTAAGCGTCAATTTCAAAAGATCATGCTGTATATAATACAACTTGGGGAGTATTCTAGATCTAATTCCTTTGGTCAAGGATCGCAGTACAGGTGTCAAGCATCTAAGGCTCGTCTAGTCAAAAGAGAGAGCACAGGTCGCTCCAGCTGATTTGTCGCTCACTGTGTTCTGCTTTTTGTTGTTTGTACGGTGAAGCGTTTATGGTTATGTTGCAGGTGAGTAACAGCTGGAGCTATCTGGGCTTGTAAGTATTGGGCCTGATCCATTTTTTCATTGGCCCACATCGTTCCGATCTGCTTGTTGTATACTTTCATTCATACATTATTCATCTCAGAACTCCTTTTTACTCTAACGAAAGAGAGAGAGAGTGAGAAAATACAGAGAAAAAAGAGAGATGGCTCCTGGTTTTAACATCTTCGACATGACGCAAGTTTGTCAAGGTCTCTTTCTTCCTCCTCCTCAATCTTCCTTTACTTTTCTTTTTTTGCTTTTTTTTCATTTTCCATGGATATCGATTTCTTCTCATCTACAGACACATTTTCTTTCTCCAAATTTTGCAACGATTTTTTTTTTTTTTTTCGCTATGAAGTTGCATCAAAAAGCGCCATTTATTCCATGAGATGACAAAGAGATTTTCTTTAACAAGAACTTTGTACAAAGATTTACATTTTTATAACAATCCGGGAGAATAAAGTTTGCTTCTTTTTACAAAAAAAAAGTTTGCTTTTTGAAAAATAAGCTCTTGTGATGTTCTTTGATAGTGTCTTGTTTGGTTCTCTGTATGCTTTCTTCTGGCAACTAATAAAGCACTAAACTTTCTTTCGTCGAATTTCATTTGACGTTTTTCAATCACTGTAATGAAACAGACCGTTTCCATGCGACCAACAACCAGTTCCAGCAATCGGGTCCAAAGGGTTTCATCGAAGTGAAGGTCCTCGAGACCAACGACATCTACGTGCGCGTGGACTTGCCCGGTGTTCCAGACGACGCCGTCCGCTACAGAGTCGACGGCGTGAGGCAAAAGGTCGTCTTTTTCTCCGGCGAGACTCTCGACGACGGTGGGGTTCGTGAGTACTCGGGAACCACGGGTTTGGGCTGTGACTGCTGCGATATCACCGGAGTTGATGCGAAGATGAAAGATGGAGTCTTGAAGATGGTTGTGTCGAGGGTCAAGGTGAAGGACCACGAGAACAAGTGTAGTCTCACTCTGCCTCCTCCTTTCACAGGTTCGAATCCCCAAATCCTCTGTTTTTGCGTTTTGATGTATTGTAAATGCTCTGGTTTTGCGTTTTGATGTATTGTAAATGCTCTGGTTTTGCGTTTTGATGTATTGTAAATGCTCTGTTTTTGCGTTTTGATGGACAGGTAGATCTGGAAGTAAGGTGGAGGCTCATCCATTTGTGGTGAGAGGTCGTAAGGGAGCAAACTATACGGAGTCAAGAGCTGATGGAAGCCTTTATCTCGTTGTGGATATGCCAGGGGTTAGTGAAGGTGATGAAGAATTGATTCGTAGAGAGTACGAAGTCAAATTCACAGGCGAGGCGAAGCATGTGAGCGAGCATGACGAAGGTGGCCGTCTTTACGTCGGAAAAGTCGGCGGCACTCCTGATTTTGGCACTCCTTCGCTTGTGAGGCACACCGTCACTGGTGAAATCAAGTTTGGGGTTTTCAAGATCCTCATCACACCTCCTAGCAACAGCAACAACGAGTAATCACTCTCTCTAGCTCGACTCTACTTGCGTTTTTGTTTCAGAATATCTATCTTTCTGTTTTGGGAAAACTACTAAGTCTTGTGTGTGTTTAAGTTTGAGACAATGATGTGTGAACATGATAACTACTGCTTCTGTGTTTGCTATGGAATTTAGTGTTTTGTTTTCACAGTCCCAAGTTTTATTCTATAAGCTTTGATTTGAAGTTGAACCAAGTTAAGTTAAAGAGGATCCATATCAAATGACTAAATTAAGCTCATATTGAAAATTATTTCCTTATATAATCATTTCGTTTGTTGCACTATTGATTTTTAAGCCATTGTAATTAACCACAAAGCCTCGGGCTCGTAATTAACAATAGTGTCTCCATGGTTTTATGTTATTTTGTTATGGTCAAACATCATATCTAATCAAAGTTGGAAAAAAGGTTAGAAACTGTAAAAGAGAGGGAGAGAAGTTCTTGGTTGCAAAACAAACAAAAAAAGGAGACGAGTTAAATTATCGAGAAATTGTCATCTATAACACTAAAAAAACCAAAATTAACAAAGTGACCATATTGAAAGTTTGGCTAGAATATGGACTGAATAATATGTAATATTCCTAAACTAACATTGTTGCTAATTCTCACTAAAAACAAACAAAAAAACAGAACAGTTCTTTCGTTTCATCTTGTGGAATTGGCAGAGCCGTAACTAAGATATTGGCTAGGTTGGCTGGTTGGGTTTGTGATTGTAGCCGGCGGTGATGGTTGCGTCATCAGCTGTGCTATAGAATCATTTCATGTGCATGAAAACTCAGGGGCAAAATAGGCATTAAAAGAGTCTCGTGGTTAGTCCATCAATTCACCTTTTGATATGACTATAAGCTTAATTTTACCACTCAATATAGCTACTAGACTAATTCACCCTAAATTCTTTGGGTTGTCTTGTTGTAAAACAAGTAAAAGCCAGCTCATAGTTTCACCCTTAAAGCATCGCTGACGTCAGCGTCTTTCTTGCTTAAGTTAATTCATGGGTCTGTAAAAGTAAAATGTAATTCAAAGGGAACTAAATTCCTTAACTTGGGTGCAAAGATTACATTTGTTTAACAGTTATTCTTCTTAAAAAGATATGAGGAAAGTGACATAAAGCTACCATCCATAGAGCAGCAGTCAAAATTTTGATTTCTCTCAAACAATGAAAACTGAAAAGAACTCTGAGGTGCCACGTCACGAACATTGTACCTCTTGCCTCGTCTCGTTATAAAGCTACCATCCGTAGAGCAGACTTTAGTTTATGTTTCTCTCTATTACGTCCACTTTATTTCAGCTTTGTTTATGTTAATCTATTTCAGCTTTGTTTATGTTAATCTTTTATGGTTAAGTAAGTAGCACTTTAAATTTCTGGTATATAGTCTGATTATAGTCATCAAAACGTTTCCTTAAGTCTATAGCGAGATAATCAAAGGAAAAAGCAATTAAAAGTAGTTGAAAACTTAGAAGTTTGGTGCAAAAATAAATGAAAGACTTTTTGCATTGGAAATTTGTTTGTCGTATGTGAAATTTAAATAGAGGGGAGTAAAAAAGATTAACAACAGCTCATAAAGTTCCCAATTTTGACAGTGGAGTATCCCTGTCGCAATCATCTGAGGTAACAATTCAGAAGTGAATAAATTTTTTTTTTAACAGTTATATTTTTTTGAATATGAGGATAGAAAGTCCGAAGACCAGTCAAAATTTCGATTTCTCTCGACCAATTAAAAGAGCTCTGAGGTGCCACGTCACGGACATTGTACCTCTTTATATTAGGAGATTCATCAACAACAAATTTCAGAACTTCATTTTTACGCCAACGAAGAGAGAGTGAGAGTGAGAGTGAGAGAGTGTGAGAGAGAGAAAATACAGAGAAAGAAGAGAGATGGCTTCGGTTACGTGCATCGACATGTCCAGAATCACTTCCAACGAAGGTCTCTTTCTTTCTCCTTAATCTCCCCTTACTTCGTTTTTTTTTTCATTTTCCATGGATTTCGATTTCTTTCTTCAAATCAAAATGTTTTGCAGCGATTTTTATTGTTTTTTCCATAAAAATGCGCCTTTTATCCCATGAGATGACAAAGAGGTTTTCTTTAACAAGAACTTTGTACAAAGATCTACATTTTCATAACAAATCCGGGAGAATAAAGTTTGCTTCTTGAATAAATAAGCTCTTGTAATGTTCTTTAACAGTGTCTTGTTTGGTTCTATGTATTAAAAGCATTAAACTTTCTTTCACGGAATCTCTTCTTACGTTTCTCACTGTTTTCTCCACTGTAATGTGAAACAGCCGGTCTCTTCGCGACCAACAACCAGTTCCAGAAATCGGGTCCAAAGGGTTTCATCGAAGTGAAGGTGCTCGAGAACAACGACATCTACGTGCGCGTGGACTCGCCCGGTGTTCCAGACGACGCCATCCGCTACAGAGTCGACGGCGTGAGGCAAAAGGTCGTCTTTTTCTCTGGAGAGACTCTCAACGACGGTGGAGTTCGTGAGTACTCGGGAACCACCGGTTTGGGCTGCGACTGCTGCGAGATCACCGGAGTTGATGCCAAGATGAAAGACGGAGTCTTGAGGATGGTTGTGTCAAGGGTCAAAGTGAAGGACCACGAGAACAAGTGTAGCCTCACTCTGCCTCCTCCTTCCAAAGGTTCGAATCCCCAAATCCTCTGTTTTTGCATATCCATCATAGTAGAAATCCTCTGTTTTTGCATATCCATCATAGTAAATCCTCTGTTTCTGCATATCCATCATAGTAAATCCTTTGTTTTTGCTTATCCGTTATTGTAAATGCTCTGTTTTTTTTTTGCTTGGACAGGTAGATCTGGACAAAACGTGGAGGATCATCCGTTTGTGGTGAGAGGTCGGAAAGGAGCAATGTACGTGGAAACGAGAGGAGATGGAAGTACTTTCTTCGTGGTGGATATGCCAGGAGTTAGTGAAGGTGATGAATAGTTGATTCATAGAGAATATGAAGTTGAATTCAGAGGAGAGGCGAAGAAAGTGTGTGAGCACGACGAGAGTGGCCGTCTTTACGTGGGAAGAGTTGGCGGGACTCGTGAGATTACGCCTTCGCTTTTGAGGCACTCCGTTTCTGGTGGTATCAAGTTTGGCGTTCTCAAGGTTCTCCTGAAACCTCCTCGTCGCAACAACAACAATCAGTAATCGCTACTCTCTCTAGCGGGAACTACTTGCGTTTTCGTTTGCAACATCTATCTATTTATCTTTTTGTTTTGGGAGAATGTTTAAGTTTGAGACAATGATGTGTGATGATGACTACTGCTTTTGTGTTTGCTTTGGAATTTAGTGTTTTGTTTTCACAGTCCCAACTTTTATTCTATGAGCTTTGATTTGAACCAAGTTAAGTTAAAGAGGATCCATATCAAATGACCAAATTGGTGACGATTGCCCAAAACTCTTAAAGCTCATATTGAAAATTATTTCCTTATATAATCATTTTGTATGTTGCACTATTGATCTTCAAGCTATTGTAAATTAGTAATTAACCACAAAACCTCCGGCTCATAATTAACAATAGTCTCTCCATGGTTTATGTTATTTTGTTTTGGTCAAACATCATATCAAATCAAAGTTGAAAAAAAAAGTTTTGAAACTTTAAAAGAGATAGAGAGAGAGAGTTGCATTGTAGTAAAAGCATCGCTGACGTCAGCGTCTTTCATACTCTAGTTAATTCTTGGGTCTGTAAAAGTAAAAGCATAGACATTGTTTTCTCAATCCTTAACAATGTTTATGATCTAAAGAAACGTCTTTTAACAGTTAAATTTTCCTTAACTTGGGCTAGTGCAAAGATTACATTTGTTTAACAGTTAATTTCTTTAAAAAAATATGAGGAACGTGACATAAAGCTACCATCCATAGAGCAGTCAAAATTTTGATTTCTCTCCAACAATTAAAAGAGCTCAGAGGTGCCACGTCACGAACATAACATTGTACCTCCGGCTCATAACAAAAGTACATGGTTTATGTAATTTTGTTTTGTTTTGGTTAATTTAATCAATGTCATTAAAAAACCCGTTTCTTTGAGCCAACATCTAAATTTTGAAGGAAAGGTGCAAACTTTAAATTTTTACAAAAAGATAACACATGAAAAACAGAGTTGACACTTTAAAAGAGAGAGAGAGAGAGAAGTTATTGGTGCAAAACAAAAAAAAGGAGACGAGTTACATTGTAAATTCCTGGGGTTGTCTTGTTGTAAAACAAGCAAAAGCCAGCTCATAGTTTCACCCGCTGACGTCAGCGTCTTCCATGCTTAGTTAATACTTGGCTCTGTAAAAACATTGACTCATCTAGTGACGTGGACAAGCAAAGAGCAGTAACATTTTAGTTTTCTCATCACGCTTAAAAGAGCCTCTGAGGCAAAGAGAATACTTTTATCGTTGGAGAACGAAGCTATAAGCTAGCTCTAGTGCCACGTCGCAGACGGTGTTGTACCTCGTTTATATTCAGTACCAATCAACAAGGAAACGAGAGAGATCAGAGATCAGAGATGACTGGGGGATATTGCATTGACTTGTCGAGATTTCCGTCCGTCCCAGGTCTCCTTCCTCTTCTCTATCATCTCCCTTTACCTTCGCTTTACATTTTAAACAAAGTTATGATCCAAAGATACGTCTTTTATTCATTTCCCAACAACTTTGGTATAGAGATTTTGATTTGTTTGCTTAATCTAGGAAACGAAAGGTTCCTTCTTTAGAAATCAAGCTGATTTTAGCTCTTTAGTCTATATTGATCATCCCTTTCCTTAACTTGGGTGCAAAGATTTACATTTGTTTGCTTAAAAAGCTGATTTGAGCTCTTTAGTCTCTATTGATCTTTGATTCTCACGTTTCAGAGGGTTTCTACGCGACCAACAGTCAGTTCCAGATAGCAGGTCCAAAGGGTTTCATCCAAGTGAAGGTTCTGGAGAACGATAAGCTCTACGTGCGCGTCGACTTGCCGGGTGTTCCAGACGACGCCATCCGCCACAGAGTCGACGCCGTGAGACAAAAGATCGTGTTTTTCTCCGGGGAAACTCTCAGGGACGGTAACGTGAAGGAGGGAGTTCGTGAGTACTCTGGAACCGCCGGTTTGGGCTGTGACTGCTGCGAGATCACAGGAGTTGATGCCAAGATGAAAGACGGAGTCTTGAGGATGGTTGTGTCGAGGGTCAAAGTGAAGGATCACGAGAACAAGTGTGATCTCGTTGTGCCTCCTTTCACAGGTTCGATCTTCCCTAAAGTCACCACCTTTGCTTGTGTATTTGCAGTTTCCACCATTGTTGTAAAATGCTCTGTTTTTGTCAGGACAGGGAGGTCAGGACGTGACATTGAAGATCATCCGTTTGTGGTGAGAGGTCGCAAGGGAGCTTTGTACGGAGAGGCGACGAGAGGTGGTCGTGGAGGAGGGCTTTACTTCACCGTTGATGTGCCTGGTGTCTCTAGTGAAGATGCCGTGGAAGTGTTCGCTCTTGAGGATGAAGTGAGGTTCTACGCTGAGGTGAAGACTGCGAGTGAGCACGAGGAGAGTGCACGTGTCTACCTTGGCAGTGTCCTCAGCGATGCTCCTTCTTCTCGCATGCCTTCACTTCTGAGCTACGCCATTACTTGGGATGTGGTCTTTGGCGTTCTCAAGGTTCGTGTTGCACCTCCTAGCCCCAACAACAACAACTAGAAACACTCTACATCTCTCTCTGCTACCACTACGTTTTCATTTTGACATTGTCTTGTCTTTTTGTTTTGGCTACTACTAGTCTTCTTTCTTTAATTGTGCGAGTCCTACTTGTGTGTTTATGTTTGCTGTGGAATCATGTCGTCTGTTTCACAAATCTTACCTTCTTCTCCCTAAAGCTGATTGCTACCAAAATCAGTGAATAACATAGAAGAATCAATCACGGATCTTCAGGCCATTGTAATAACCAGAAGCCTCTCACACGTAACAACAAAAGTGTACAAAATATGTTATACTATGAACAAAGGCTCACTAGAACATACAAAGGCATATATATACTTTGGGCCAAGCTTCTTACATATAAAAGAGAACTTCATCTGATTTTTTAAGAAAGATCAAACAATATTCACAAAATTCTTAAAACGATTTACATTCTCATCAACGAAATCTCAAAAGCTGCATTCCAAGAAATCTTCTAAACTCATTTCAAGATCACCAAGCTGATCAAACGAGAAGAAAGATGAAACCTTCTTCTTTGGACTCAGAAGGATAACATCTGCATCCATCCAACAGTCCATCCGAGAAGCAAACCGGCACCAACAAGACTCATCCCCAAAGCTAAACCAACAGCGTACTTTGCTGCACTCGGTTTATTACCCCTCTTGCTTCTCCTCTTCCTCATCCCCGGTTTTCTCGCTTTGCTATTGCTCCATGGCATCGAAACCGGTGGCTCCTCCTTCTCCTTATTGTTCTCAGTCTTCTTGTTCTTGATTTGGAGGTAAAGTGCTTCCAGCTGAAGCAGTTGCAACCACTGCTTGTACCCGAAAATCTCAGAGGCTTGCTTGAACAGGAGCTTCACCAAGTGCTCTTTCTCTGCATACGCTTCTTTCGCCATGTTCTCCGCTTCCCTAGCTCGCGTTTGCGAATGCCTCAGCGCTTCTAGCAGCTCGGATTTGCTAAGATCATCAGACTCAGACGAAGCCGCCTCCTCGGTTCTGTTCTTGAAGCTGGTTCCTCTCCCGTGCTCCTGGATGGTTACAGAGTCTCGGAAACTACGTGGACTGCCGTAATAAGAGCGTTTCATCTTCTGTGGTGTTGGTAGATCACAGTTCTCAACATAGTCAAGAGATCTTTGTGCAACTAAAGAAGCTAACTCGTCTTTATCCGTAGTTCGCCACCAAGGTCCAGCTTTCTCGCTTGAGAGAGGATTCCATGGATCGAAAGCTACCTCGTTTAGCTTCTTCTCATCATACCCAACTGAACCATAATCTATGAATTCTTGAAAGCTTTCAGACTTGGAAGATGTTTTCACTCCCAATTCAGGTTTCTTCTTCTCAGAGATATTAGTAGCCTCAGCCTCAGCCTGCAGTGGCTGCTTCTTGACTTGTTGTTGGTTTGGCTGACTGTGATGATGATGATGACCCCACAAGCTGGTGTTGTGTGGTAAACGATCCGGGAAATTGGGGTTTCGATGAAGAGGCATTAGACCTGGAGGAGAAGATGGTTGATTCTGAGGATCAACAAGAGCTCGAGAAGACCCCACAGAATCTTCTTCAACCTGTTTTGTAGATGAAGAAGATTGGCAACAGGTTAGCTTGGGAGCTCTTTTAGCGTCTTCTTGGACAAAGTAACGGTTTACTGTTCTTTGCCACACTGCTCTTGCTTCCGCTCCTGCCATTATTTCACCATCACTCTGAAATTACAAAGAGAGAGAGAGACAGATTGATGAATGATGATAATCAAAAACCAATCAAAAATGTGATTCAGAAATCTAGCAGAGTCTTGCTTAACCATATGATTCCATTTATAGATGAAAATGAATCATTTTTCAAAAAGTAAGAATCTTTCTGAGATGGCCAGCCATATAACCTCTAAGAGAGAAAGAGAAGACAGATCCATCACCAAAAAGCTTACAAAACACTTTATGAATCAATAAGAGAGAATCTGATGTTTTGCTTTATGCGAAAATGAAGAATTTAGTTCCTATTTTGTTTACAAGCAAAGACATGATAGGCAGATTCTGGTCGAAATTAAGTAAAGTGTTCTTCAACCTACCAACTAAACAATTCTTCTTTGCAAATTAGAATCAAATCCCAGAAATTCAATTAAATTATTAAACCCAGAGAGGATCACATACACAAACAAGAAGAAAAAAACATCAGACCCGATAAGACCAAACATCTAAATTTTCGGCACCATGTGGCGTAACCATCAACTAAAAAACGAGAAATCTCAGAGAAACAACAATAATTTGCAGAATTTCAGAAAACTAACCAGGAGGAGAGAGTAACACGTTAATCAATCAATCGAGAAAACTTTAACGAATTTGAGAAGTCACGAGAGAGGAAAAAAACGAAGATAGAGTTGCGAGATTTTTTTTGTTTTGGGTTATTTTGATTGTCAGAGATTGTTTGTTTGCTTGCGATTAAGCTTTTGAATCTTTGCAGTTTATCGTTTTCTACCTGTGTCATTCAGCACGCAAACTTCCTTTAAACCGCACCGTTTTGAGGATCCCATAGTTATGTTTCCGAGTCTTTCAGTCCACAGATTTGCCCCATAGATCTCACACAGGAACCGTTCGATTAGATACTAATTACACGTGGCGTGAATCCAGAAGATCGAGTGGGGCTTCTCTTTGTTTTTACGGATAAGACCTTTTTATCTACATTATTTGGAGGGAAGTCTGGCTCTTCACTACACGCGCCACGCGCTCTTATAAATTCTCTTGTTATGTTAGTTAAACAAGTACAAAATGTAATTTTCATTGAATCTATATTATATAAAAGTTGAGGCTATAAGCCTCTGAGAGCGTCCACATAGGATTTAAAAACGTGAACTTATTGGTCCACGTGAGCATGTTCAAAATTAAGAAAATTTCCGAATTTAAACAATCAATAGTATCATTCCACATCATCATATAAAATTAGTTAATTTCCTTTTCATTGTTCAAGAAAGTTTCATAATTCAAGAATAGTATAGACACATCATCATATAAAATTAGTTAATTTCCTTTTCATTGTTTAAGAAAGTTACCTAATTCAAGAATAGTATAGATTTTTTGTATTAAAGAGTTTATAATTTTTTTTTTAAAAATTAATACCAACAACAAAGAAAATAACTTAACATGAATAAGTTTTTTTATTAACTCTAATATATAAGACAACAATAATAATATAACCATATTTTATACTATATAAAAATTGAGGCTAAATGTCTCTAAAAGCGTTCACATAAGATTTAATAACGCGATTTTACTTGTCCACATAAGTACCTTCAAAAATAAGATTTTTTTTGAATTTTAGACAACTAATAGTATCAGTCTACATCATCATATAATCCACATAGAATTTAGAAAAATGATTTTATTGGTCAAAATAATTATCTTAAAAAGATTAATTAATTTTCTAAATTTTAAACAATCAATAGTCTTATTCAACATTATTATGTAAAATTTACTATGATCTTAATTTTGATTGGTCCAAATAAGCATTTACATGATTAAGAAAAATTATAATTTTTAAATATGTAAGAAATAAGAAAATTAAGTATATATGATTTTAAACAACAAATAGTATCATCCCACAGTATCACTAAAACTAATTATTTTTTTATCTTTTCATATTTCAGAAAGTTTTATTAACTAAATAGTTTAGAAAAAAAATAAAGTATATTTCCCATTTACAATAAAATTAAAACTGTGTCATGTAAATTAGTAATATAAACTTAAAACAACTAATATTATTAGTACACATAAGCTTATTTAACATTAATTTTTTTCTAAAATGTAAAATTTTGCTAAGATAAGAACGAAAAACATGAAACCAAAAAAAGAACACAAAGGAGGAATAAAGAAGAGCAGTAACAAAGATGAGTGAAGATCAATAAGAAACCAAATAAGAACAAAAAATAAATCAAAATAGGAGAAATTGAAGAAGTAATAAATAAAAGGAATTTAAAAACATTGAAAGAAGAGTGAAGAAGGAAATGAAACCAAATAAGAACACAAAGAAAGAATAAAGAAAAGTGAAGACGAAGAAAAGTAGAAACCAAACAATAACACAAAGGAGAAATAAAGAAGAGCGAAGACAAATAAGAGCATAAGTGAAAATGAGTGAAGATAAATAAGAAAACAAATAAGAACAAAGAAGAAATCAAAGTTGGAAAAATTGAAAAAGAATTAAAAAAAAAACATAGAAACTAGAGTAAAGAAGAAAATATATAGAAGAAGAGGAAGATGAAAGATACAAAATATAGCGAAACCTATAATTTTTGATGGTATGAATAATCATAGAAGAAATAGAAGAATAAGAACCAAGAAAAGCAAAAAAAATAAAAATAAATAAATAAATGAAAAAAAGTGAAGACGAAGATAGCAAAGAACGGAAAAAACTATATAAGGCTAAACCAGAAAACCAAATAAAAAGAAAAAATCGAAGAATATGAAATTGAAAGCTATGTTTAACTATATTTTTTATGATCTCATAAATTTAGTTATTTATATTATTGTTAGACATTTTTCATTACATGTGTGAATATGTAGTTGTACGTCTCTAACTTCATTATATTTTTATGAATCTTTTACATATTTAAGTTTGGTTAACTGTATCATTTAGTGAAAAATTTATTCTACATAAAATTAAACTAAAGAGAATTATAATAAAATTATTTCTAAAAGGGATAAAATCGTGAGAAACTCCATCATAGATAATCAAGAAAATTATAGAAAAATCCTAACAATTCGATCCTCTAAAATAACCATAGAAAAAACAGAAGAATGATAAGCAAGGACGAGCACAAATAATAACAAGGAACATAAAAAAAAATGTGGAGACAAAGATATTAAAGAATAAATACAAAAAATAATCAGAAGATGAACAAAGATGAAGAAGTATATCAAATAACGGAATAAAAACTGCAATGACGAAGAAACATAAGAGGAAAATGAGGAGAATAAAGATAACGAAGAAACCAAAGAAAAAGAAACCGAATAAAGGAGAATAGAACAATGAAAAATAAAAAAATGACGAAGAATAATTAATATTAGTTCAATTATCAGCATGACATGCTACTGACAACAAAAAATTATAGATAAAAAATATTTAATCAAAGTATTAATATAGACCCGCGCGTGCGCGAATAAAAGACCTAGTATATATTTGAAAATTAGGCACAGTCTACAGAGAATGTAAACAGCGAGTTGACAAAAAAAATGTACATAGTGGCGTCGCCTAGTAATTGAACGTTAGGTGAAGCTAAAATTTCTTCATGTCATTATGGTTCATTGTCTCTGTCCAATTGATAGTTGCATTAGATATTTTTATGATGTGATTCCATAAGTTTTAAACAATTTAGATTTTATAATAAGTTGCTTTATGGACTCTGCACTAATATATTCGCCATAATTAACGCCATATAAGATATATTCTCAACTAACTTCTTTAGAATAATTATTTAGTGAAATGGACCCTTTTCTTAACTTAATATTATCAGGAATAACAATGGGTTTAATCAAACATCTGATGATTCGTATAATTTCGTCTGTATTACACAAATTATGCCGAAGTTTAATAATCAACCACAAGATAATATAATCCACTACGTAATACAATAGCGGCCAGGTTCTTCATGAAAGCCGTCAGAGAAGATTTCATAATCTTATTATACTGTATCGTTTCTAAAAGGAATCATTCAAACCATGCCAATTATAGTTGAAGCCGACTTATCCGGTCAAAATCCGATGCAACCAAGTCAACGTAAACCATGTCAAATAGAAAGACATGAACATGATGATATTTCAGTGTATTCAAAGTCAAGTCAAAGATAAAATTTAAGATCTGGATTAAGATTAAGGTTATTAAGATTAAGGTTCAACTCACTGCTTCCTTCATAATCTCGTATGTGCTTGTAATGAATGTTATATACCATGGAGAAAAAGAAAGAAAAAACTTGATTTACAAGAAAATCACGAATCCAAAATACTTTTTACAAGAAATCACGTATCCAACAATAATAATAAACACGTTGAAGCTAAGCTCGGTTTCTTCCCGGAAAATGTTTTGATATTCCATCGTCCTAGGAATCTCTGAGGCTGACGAACTTCACTGTGCCATCACCACCACAAGTGATAAATCCATTCGGACAAACTTGTATGTCAGTGACCCCAGCCTGCACCAATTTTTGCACAGAAGCACAAACTTTAAACGATGATACAAAATAGTTATACTGTGAAAGGGCCTAAGCTTTTGCACATACCCGGACGATTCCACCGTAGCCTTTAGAGGTTGGCTGTAGAAAAGTGTGTCTTTCGTGTAGTTTAGGCCAATGATGAATCAGTTTTGCTGCTTTTGCGTCCCAAAGCTTAACATCTCCGTCTTTGCTTCCAGTTAGGAACAGACTTGTTCGCGGGATTGTTGATATTTTCGTCACACTCCCTGAAAATTCAATCAGTTTCTGAGATATATTCGACAGAACCAAAAATGAAGATCCAAATTAGGGTATAGGGCGTGCACCTAAGTGAGCCTTTGGTATATACCAAAGCATCCCGTTCTTGTTCTGCTTTTGCATCTTACCGGTTGCGATATACCGGAAATCGTGCAACCCAACATCGCCTTCTCTGCCACCGGTCACAATCATTGGAGAAATTGAGCCACTGCCAATGTCATTATCAAATACCGCAAT